GCGGGCGAGGAGGAGAGTCGTGGTAGGAGGGCAGCACCAGAGTGGGAGAGACAAAGGCGGCCCGGACAGCGGGCACCTCGGCCGCGCTGTCGCAAGTGTCTCCAGCGCGCGGCGTGGACGCGCGGGGGCTCTCGGCGCAGGAAGGGGATGACCCGGGGGGTTTGGGCGAGGTGGGTGCCCTACCCCCTGGGTCCCCGGCGTGGGGGCCGAGCCCGGGGTTGGCGAGGGGGTTACCGGGGTCGGGAGCCCGCGGCCCCGCGCGTTGGCACGGCGCCGGGAACGGGGGTCCAGCCCCCTTGCCTCGCTCCTCCAGCAGGGACACCTTGCGGAATCGTGGCGAGCGAGGGGGTCTGCAGGAGCCCGTCGCGGGGTCGGCCCCGCATCCCAACGAGGAGGAGGAGGCGGCGTCGTCCCTCCACTGCGCATCCACGAACTCCACACAGGTCCAGCGACCACGGCGAATCGAGGGGGTGCTCGCGGCGGCAGCTGCGTCCAGACGGACGAGGCGAAAACGGGGGCTGGGAGCGCGGCACCGCTCGGCTGGGGCGGTGGGCGAGGGGGTCCCTGGGGACGCCGCTCGCGGCGAAGGGGGTTCCACTCCGAGGGTACCGCCTGGGCTCGCCACTAACCCCGGCTGATGCTCCACGCAGGTGATCTGAAAGCCACGGCGCCGCTTTTCCGAGGACGCGGAGTCCACGAGGTGATCCATGGGGGTCCCCCTGCCGATTTGAGTAACGAGGGATCGGGGAGTTCTACTGGAACCCCCGGCGAGGGGGTTGGTGCCTCTGGGTATCTCTCGATGGAGGAGTTCCCACCCGGCGCCGTGCTGCGTCGTGTGGCTGTCCCCTCGCTCAGTGAAGGGGGTGTCGCCCTGAGACCCCCGCTAAAAGGGGGTCCTCCTACCTCGGCTATTTGTAGAGCGACCCACGCCCACTTTTGACCGAGGCGAGGGGTCGAGATTCGCTACCCCCCCCCCCCCATCTCTCTCCCCCTCCCCCCTGCTCCCCTGAGGGTCCCTGGTCGATGGAACGCGGTTCACGGAACGTCATCACGGCCATCATCACCCCTTAATCTCTGCGATATGAATATCATCATCAGCAGCAGCAACACCATCATCATCACAAGCCCTCATCTTAACTCCATAATCACACAAAACCACCACCGCCAATTATCCAAATCCATGATTACCATCAGAATACATCATCAACGTGACGCTCCCCAAATGCCAACCACCATCACACACATCACCACCATCATCATCCCTACACCATCACCACCCACCATCACACACATCAACATCATCATCCCTACACCATCACCACCCACCATCACACACATCACCATCATCATCCCTACACCATCACCACCCACCATCACACACATCAACAACACCATCCCTACACCATCACCACCCACCATCACACACATCATCATCATCATCATCCCTACACCATCACCACCCACCATCACACACATCAACAACACCATCCCTACACCATCACCACCCACCATCACACACATCACCATCATCATCCCTACACCATCACCACCCACCATCACACACATCAACAACACCATCCCTACACCATCACCACCCACCATCACACACATCATCATCATCATCATCCCTACACCATCACCACCCACCATCACACACATCAACACCATCATCATCCCTACACCATCACCACCCATCATCACACATCATCATCATCATCCCTACACAATCACCACCCACCATCAACACCATCCCTACACAATCACCACCCACCATCACACACATCACCATCATCAACCCACACAATCGCCACCCTCCTTCCAAACACCATCACCAAAAACCCCACCAGCACACCCCATCATCAGCACCTCCCCTCCTCCCCCCACACCATCACACACCACCACCACCATCATCAGCACCCCTCCTCCTCCCCCCACCATCACACACCACACACCATCACAAACACCACCACCACCATCAAGCGCCGTGACTCGCAGTTCGCCGCGTCACGACTCTGACTTTGTCGCGACTTTGAGGCCGCGTCCCCAAGCGAGCGAGTGCCGGCAGAGACGGCGGCCACAACCAGAGCCCGGGGGAGGGGGCAGGGGTCGGGTAGGGGGGGGGGTGATAAGGGGATAAAGCGTTCTCTCGGAAAGAGGGGTCCATGTTGGGGACACGAGGAACCTCCGCTACCCCCTCCCTCCCTGCCCCACTCAGGGGTTCATCACAGCAGCCGGTGACCCCTGTGATTGACCCCCCCTCCCCCGGCCGCAAACACCTCTCAGCATCCGTCCTGACCACGACTGCCCCCCCCCTGCCCACTCCACCACCCTCCACTGTCCCATACCTGGGCCCCTCTCCCTCCCCACTCCTTTTTCCTCCTCTGCCCCCTTCCCCCCCTCCTACTGTTCACTCGGCTCCCTCCTCTTGTACCTCCCCCACCTCCCCTCTCTCCCCTGCTCCCTCCAATCCCCTCTGTGTTGCCTATCTCCCTCCCGTGCCCACTGCTCCCTCTCTGCCTCCACCCCTCAACTCTTCCCTTGCCCACGCCCCCCCCCCCATCTCTTGCATTCCCCACTCGGCGTTCCCGTATCGCGATGGCGCGGTGCCCGGCTGGAGTGCTGATTAAGTGTCAGTGGAAAGACAGCGGGCAACTCAACGCGAAAGTCACACACGGCTCGAAGTCGATCGCGACTAAAGCAGACGAGAAACCAAACTCGCATTCAACATCGCTCTCACGCAGTCATTCGCAACAACAACAACAACAAAAATGCATGCAACTCAGCTTAAAAGTCACTCGGCAATTAAACTCGCATTCTATTCAGAACTCAAGTTACTTGCAACTGAAGCGACACGCAACTGTGGCACTCTCAACTCGTCACTCGCTATTAAACTCACATGCAACTAAAGTCGCCAGCAAACGAACTCGCGTTCGACTCAACTCAACTCGCACTCAACTTATCCGACACACGACCCACTGTTGTAGCAACATGTTACACCAACAGAAGCTCAACACGCCATGAACAATACCCCAATGCAATTTACAAACATCACGACGACACTCCATCAATATCCCACACTTCACACCCATCACCACGCTACACCAATCACCACCCGATACCCAAGTCTGGATTTCTCCCTCGATAGTTTCCGCAACGCTGCTAAACTGGCTGGCTTGGGAGTAATCGATTATATTATCGGCGTAAGGCACTTCTACTCGAGTATAAACCGTACACGTTACGCCTATTTACAAGTTACCCTCTAGTATTCAATGGCTGTTGTTGTTGTACCCTAGACACACATCACCGCAGTTACGTTCAAGAGGCTAACGCGAGGATGTTGATAAAATAGAACGCGTGTCAAAATCATTCCCAAAATAAGAATTCTGGACATGTCCGGCTGCAACCGAGCTCACCGTGGTACAGAACGACACAGGGAGTCTCATTTCAACCGGAGCTGACCGGGGCTGAACTTTGAAATATTTCGCCCCCCCCTCCACCCAGCCCCAAAGACAAAGCTCCCCCATATAGCCTTAACGGACTATTGGGGCAAGTGCTGTTCGCGAGCACCTACGAAGGCCGGAACGGCACACGAGGGGGTGGGTGGCCAGCACCACGCCCAATCACCTTTGTCTCCCCAGTGGCGATGTTTACACATCACACCAGGTACTCATTTGAGGCTGAGTCGACCTAGGGGAAGCCCAGTTCAGATAATCGTCACTGGTGGAGGCGGTGAGCGAGAATCGAACTCGGCTCGCCGGGTTCGTAGCGCAGCGCGCTAACCGCTTCACTACCGCTCCCCACATACAAAGACACAGATCCCCCGTATAGCCTGTAACAGACTGTTGGGGCAAGTGCTGTTGGCGAGCACCTATGAAGGCCGGAACACACCCACACACACCTACACTGGGGGCCGAATTTCAGGCAGAACTGTCCGCGGCTGAACTCTGAAATATTTCTACCCCCTCCACTCTCCACTAAGCCCCACACACACTGTCGGGTGGAGCAGCTGGTCCCCCGTAAAATATTGCGTGAGCAATTAAGGCCACATCTGTGCAACACTACACCTACACAACACTACACCTACACAACACCTCTACCGCTACACTCACCAAGCCAAGACGCCCACACACCGTCGCGCACCCGCTCAAACGACAGCACTCGTGCGCCAGTCTGCCGCGCCGGTCGTTTATTGAACGCGTGCGTTCGGTGAATTTCCTTCGCGCCGTACGTATCCACCAACGGCGCTCATCGGAGGCGAGCGCGAGAAAACAGGAGCCTGCGACCGTAACGCAGGCGGCGTCGGCGGCCGAGTGTGGCTGAGACCCTGCGCCCCCCCGTGAGTAAGGGAGCAGGGCAAGCCCCCCACTAATATGGAATATTGGTGGTGGGGGGCTTGTTCCCAGCGGTTACCACGAGTAGTAGTAGCAGTCAGGTGACGCAGTCGAACGGTAGCGTGTTCGTTGCGTGCGGTGGATGTTCGTGGTTCAAGCCCCGGTGGCCGTCCTGGTTAACACTGCGGCGTGACGTGGCCGCCGTGCGCGTTGAGAGTGCACGTTACAGATCCCGTGAGGTCACTCAGAAGAGCCGAGGCCGTGTTGTGTGCCAGTGTCACGGTGCAAATTTGGCAGATTTTGAGAATTACACCGCACGTGATGCGACCGGCTCTTTCCCTAACGAGGTAGAACCACATAGCAACATTGGCCCCCTACTGGCAGGCTATACTCGTGCCTTCCAGCTAGCCTTGCGTTATAAGAATGCACAGCTGTCAAGCCATACGAATTACCCGTATTATTGAACAGGGAAATTGAGTTTTCATGTCCATGCGGCCGTTTCTATACGGGCAAAATAGTCTATTTCATCTTCTTGGTTCTTTCGGTAAAGTCACGTAGAAGGGAAATAATAAAATAATAAAAATTAAATAATAAAATACAATTCTCACGACGTTTCGGCCACAAAGCAAGCAGCCGTTGTGGCCAAAACGTCGTGAGAATTGTATTTTATTATTTAATTTTTATTATTTTATTATTTCCCTTCTACGTGACTTTACCGAAAGAACCAAGAAGATGAATCCCTGCAGTCACGAAAGCTTTAAATCGAAAATCGTCTATTTGTTTGTGTTTCTCCCTTGTGATGGGACTTTGTAGGATTAACGTTGAGATTTATACAAGGGTACGGGGTGACCAATAAAGTCTGAAATGGTCTGTAATCAGGTCGGCGCTGACAAGTATGAGAATTGTGCAAAGTCCAAATTAACTAACTAATTATCCGTTAACATTGTAAACCCACGACGATCGCGATCGACGGAGACGATACGCCGAAGTATCCCAAGGCAAATGTTCCCTCCACGGCCGCCGTGAGATCAACGGACGGAGGCGTTCGTCCCGTTCGGAGCGCGTCACAAACGCGAGCCGCTGCTCCTGTTTTCGTTGTGAGGACCCGGGACTCCAGCCGCCGCAGCCTTGCGAGCGGTTCTCAGCGTCCGTCCGTCCGGCGATTTCCACCGGCTTCACTTGCGACCTTCCACCATGATGATGTGGTATCCGAACTTGGTTTTGACGGGAGGGTCGGTGTACACCGGGCTGGCCAGGGAGCTCACGGGCAAAGCGAAGGCCGCTTCCTGAAAAGGACCCACCATGGAACCTCGTACCATCCAGCCGAGGTCGCCCTGGGAGCAACGGGGCAGGGTGGGGGGGGGGCAGCCGAGCGTGAGAGAGGAGGGAGAGGGCGATGCTCGCAACGCGTAATGCCACCGCGTTCCCACGGCAACTGTAACACGGACTGGAGCAAAGCACCGGGCCTAGGAAGGCTATTCTGATTTGCGAAACAGTGAGATTTCAACTCTAAACTCTTCACAATAATAAACTAAATCCTAAAAACAAAGCCTCTGCATTAATACATCAAACGATTTTGCACCATCGGATTAACTCGCACAGCGCCATCGCGACAGCCTCGCGCGGATTCTCAACGGACTCAAAAAAATTTTCGTTACCGTTGATTACAAAAACCACATCCGTGACGTACGAACGAGGCAGGTGACGATCACATCCTGGCCACGCCTCGCAGCGCTCCACCTGGCACGGCCCCGCTGTGGCCCAGGTGCAAGGCAATCCAGCGGTGGCCAATCCACCAAGCCGCCAACCTGGTGGCACTCAATAGGCTCTGCTACGATCCACCAGAAAGCTATGACCAACAATTACCCGGATGAATTTCACTCTGTAATGTGCTACATACGTAAAGAATTCGAGCTATCGGCAGAAGTTACGACTTTTTTTTAAATGTATGAATTCTTAGCCGGGGGGGTTATTTCTTGCCATCAGCCGTAACGGTGAATGTCGTCCGCCTATCTAAACGTTTGTTCCGATAGGTCCTGAGATCCACAACAGCAATTTTGGTGATCACCCACCCGTGGATCACGACCCACGTATTGGCCACCGCTGAGTAACCCAACCCGGAACAAACCAGGCCTGAGCCTGCTGAGCCTTCGAGGTTGGACGAGACGTGGACGCGCGTACGCGGGGCGGTTTGGCGAGGTGCGGGATTGCGCGTCGTTGTTGGGACGAGGGGGTGGTGTGGGGGGGCTCATTCTGGGGGGCCCCTGTGAGGCTGGGTGGGGGGGGGGGCCCTGTGAGGCTGGGTGGGGGGGGGGGCACGCACTCCCTGGCGAGCCTTGTCCTCGCTGAAGTTAGTCGCCACCTCGTTAAACCGGACGCCGCTCTTGAGCTTCTCCATCGCCTCCATCACCTTGCCGTGCTTCTCGCACAGGATGTGGCGCACCTTGTACGGGGGAAACAAACACACGGACAATTACACATGCAGGCGATGTCAAAGATACTCATGATGATGACATTCACGACGCGCCAGATTTTTCAGACAAGTCAGCAACTCGGAGGCGCGCAGCCAAGCTCAGGGCTGCTCGAAAGCCTCACCATACAGATACAGAAGGGCCTTTAGATGTCTCTTAACAGTCAGAGTGGATGTGATGTTGCGGATGTGCAATGGGATAGAGTTCCACATCGATGGGGCGACAGCAGCGAGCCGACGTGAGGCTGTAGCAGTTCGAGACCTTGGTGTCCGCAGCAGATTTAGAGTGACGCTGCTGCTGCTGCTGCGTAGGGTTCTACCGCGAGAGCCTTCAGTGCAAGGCGAGAGTAGTGAGGCGAGGTCTAGTGGGGGAAACGGTGTTGAAGGCGCAAGCGATTTTATTATTTGTCCTGCTGGCGAAAGAGAGCCAATGTAGAGTATGGACAGCGGTGGCTGAGTCGAGACGTGGACGGTGGACACTGAGGACGACACAACCAAGGTTACCCTTTTATCTGGCAACAAAAATGACACCTTTTTTACAAGGAGTCATGTTTGCATTGACTACAATACCTGCGGTCGGAATGCAAACAAAAACACAACTCTGATCATGTATGCACTGTCCTTGAAATTGATTGGTCCACACCCGAGACATCTTGTCTTAGAGCCTAATCTCACATGGTGTTGGCGTCATCTGGTCCAACACCATGTGAGACTGGGCTCTAAGAAAGCTGTCTCGGGTGTAGACCAATCAATTTCAAGGACAGTGCATACATTATCAGAGTTATGTTTTTTTGTTTGCATTATGACCGCAGGAATTGTGGTCAATGCAAACATGACTCCTTGTAAAAAAATGCGTCAGTTTTGTTGCCAGATAAAAGGGTAAAAAAACAATGATCACAACCAAAGTTGTTCTGTAACCGTTACAATTTGAGGATGTTGCTTGACAATGATTTGGAGAGAATGGCATTAGAGTAGTCGAGGCGAGACCCGACTATACTGCAGGCGAGGGGTGTTCGTAATATCGATGGGAATGAGTGGACGTAGGTGATGATGATGTCGCCGACGTGAATGTCCAGAGACAAGGTGTAAGAATCCAGAGTGACACCAGGGCATGTGATGCGGTCTGTAAAGGGAATGGTGGTGCCGGTAATCGTAATGTTGTGGGGAAGAGAGGGTTCCAATAAGTATGGCTTCAGATTTTTTTAAGAAAGATGTGACCTTAACCAGTGCTTGCAAGGCTGTCGTGTACTCAGTTAGAGATTTTCAATTCCTTGAGCATTAGCGGGGTTTATTGATGTGTATAATAGAATGTCTTCAGCATAGGAGTGGTATTTAATTCCAAAGCTATTAATAAGTCGGCCGATGGGGGATGTGTGCATAGCAAACAATCGTGCTTCAAGCACGGAGCCCTGGGGGACCCTGAACGAGTGCTTAGTGATAGTGGATTTGCCCATTTTAACAGAGTAGGTCCTCCCGGCCAAATAGGATAAGATCCATTTTAGGTCCAATCATCTGATTTCTAAGTCGGACTCAAGAAGACTGGTAAGCGATAGGTGATTAACATTATCAAAAGCCGATGAATTATCCAGACCGAAGAGAGTCGTGATTTCACCGGAGTAGACGATTGAAATAACAGTCTCGATTTAAAGCTTTTGTGACAGCAGGGATTCATCTTCTTGGTTCTTTCGGTAAAGTCACGTAGAATGGAAATAATAAAATAATAAAAATAAAACATAATAAAATAATTCTCACGACGTTTCGGCCACAACGCAAGCAGCCGTCCTCAGGTAGAGAACAGGTCTGAATGAGACTGTCTTCTCGACAGACCTGTTCTCCACCTGAGGACGGCTGCTTGCGTTGTGGCCGAAATCTCGTGAGAATAATATTATGATGTTTTATTTTTATTATTTTATTATTTCCATTCTACGTGACTTTACCGAAAGAACCAAGAAGATGAAATAACAGTCTCCGTGGAGTAAGTCTGATGGTAGGCAGAATGATAGGCACAAAAGTTTGGGGAAGAGGTAATGCCAGTCTTACGTTCAGCGAGACGCTCGAGGAGTTTAGAGAACTGGTGGAGAGGTTAGTAATCGGCCGGTAACTGGCAGATTTCTCAGTGTCTCGTCTGGATTTCTTAAGACGCGACGGTGAAACTTGGCCTATGTTGAAAGACGGTGGGAAACGCCCGGTTGAAAATGAAGCGTTGGCGAAGGATACGCATTCGCAGTAGCGAGTTGCGTGGAGCATCTTTGTTTAAAGAGGGACCCAGCAAGGATGTCGAGAGGTGAAAGGCCGAATGTAAAGTGACCGAATGAAAGCAAGAACATAATTCCGTGATAGAGGGGAGAATGATAATTGGTTTCTTTACCCTACTATCTGGCAACAAAACTGACACCTTTTTACAAGGAGTCATGTTTGCATAGACCACAATACCTGCAGTCAGTGAGACTAGGCTCTAAGGAAAGCTGTCTCGGGTGTGGACCAATCAACTTCAAGGACACTGTACATTATCAGAGTTATGTTTTTTGTTTGCATTATGACTGCAGGTATTGTGGCCTATGCAAACATGACTCCTTGTAAAAAGGTGTCAGTTTTGTTGCCAGATAGAAGGGTAAAAAAACAATTCTCATATTCTTACTGGCAAATGAGGTTCCAATGGTGTAGAGGGGAGAGTATCGACAAGCGGGGGGAGCGTGAGAAATAGGAGCTGGGAACCCGAGGGAATTCGAGTAGGAATTCCCAGAAGCGGCGATGGAGCTAATAATCAGTGCCAGTCTGTTTGTAAAATAAGTGCTGAACGAAGTGGCGAGTGTGAATGCGGCAAGTGACTCACTCAAGAGGAGAAACCAAGTTTCTGCCTGGGTGGAGGTCATTTAGACTTTTCCAGAGGTGTTCGGGATTGTCAGAAGCAGCTGCGATGCGTGATTTGATATAGGCTTTTCGTGAGGCAAAGATCCGTTTATTTTGTAGCTTTGCCGGCGACTCTGGAATGTTCACGGTCAGTGTCGAGTCCACTACGAGAAATGATTCGTCCCCAACGTCTCCTGCTCCGCTTGGCGCGAACGGCTTCTGCGATTAGCCGACGGTCAACGTGGGAAGACGCCCGCTTGATGCGAGATTTATAACGGAGCGAGTTCGTCTGGCACCGTTGCGAGATTTACTTCCAGCTGGCGGGCACAGATGGCAGGATCAGAGGACGGGGAGAGAAGTGGAGGTTGAGAGTCGGTGCCGGATAGCGGAGGAACGTATGCCTTGGGAGTAACGTGAGGAGCGAGTCGTTTTGATAGCGCGTGGCACGAGAGTTTTTAATGAGGTGAGAATGAGATGGCCTTCTGAAAAAAATTACTTGGACCGACCGAGGCATGGATTTGTGACGGTCGGCGTCAGGCTCGATGACCAGATCAAGTGTCCTCAGACCTCCTGAAGAGCATACTCGTGTTGCCCCAACAAGATCCTCCCCGTATAGCCCTTCACAGACTTAAATTTCGATTTGAAGCTTTCGTGACTGCAGGGATTCATCTCCTTGGTTCTTTTGGTAAAGTCACGTAGAAGGGAAATAATAAAATAATACAAATAAAACATAATAAAATGCAATTCTCACGACGTTTCGGCCACAACGCAAGCAGCCGTCATTCAGACGCTGTCTTTCCGACAGACCTGTTCTTCACCTGACTTTACCGAAAGAAACAAGAAGACTTCACAGACTTTTTGGTGCAAAGCGCCATTAAGCGAGCAGCTGCGAAAGGGCGGCGCGCTGGTGTGGCAGACTGCCACGCTCGGCCGCCTTTGTCTCCCCGGTACCGACGACTACACACCGCACTCGTTGAGTCGACCTCAGGGGAGCCACAGACGCCAGAGGTCGCAACCGGGTAACCGATACCCGTACCCTACCTGATACCCGGCTACCCGTAGGGTACGGGTACCCGTTTGCGACCCTGGTGCGGCCGGGTACGGGTACGGGTAGACCGTGAGTCACTGGTAACTGTTTGTCACTCATTTCCCAACGTCTTGTCTCTTCTCACAATTCAAGTTCCTAGAATCAACCCACCCGCGCCTGCAACGTGGCTTCATCCCAAAGGTCGCAATCGGGTACCCGATACCCATACCCGGCCGGGTACGGGTAGGGTACGGGTACGGCCGGGTATGGGTACAGGTACCCGTTTGCGACCCTGGTGCGGCCGGGTACGGGTAAGGAATCAAAACCCGTTTGCGACCTCTGACAGACGCACAGAGTCCGTGGCGTGTTACCTTGACGGAGGTGCCGCCCCCCTTGGGCACGGAGGCCTTCTTGCCCCCACCGCTCTCCCCGTCTCCATCAGCCGCCGCGCCACCCCCTGTGCAACAAAGACAAAGATCCCCCGTGTAGCCTCAACAGACTGTCGGGGCAAGTGCTGTTAGCGAGTAGCACCTATGAAGGCCGGTACGGCACGTGAGGGAGTGGGTGGCCAGCACCACGCCCGGCCGCCTTTGTCTCTCCAGTGGCGATGTTTACACGTCGCACCGGGTACTCATTTGAGGCCGAGTCGACCTAGTGGAGGCCCAAGACCGGTTCAGATCAGGAATCGAACTCGGGTGGCCGGGTTTGTAGCGCGGCGTAGCGCTACCCGCTACACTACCGCTCCCCCACTGTGCAAGACACACACGAGGTGTCAGTCACTACAGCAGGGCTGGGGTTACGTAGGGTGCGAAAGAAGTTCAACAAACGCACGGCAGCGTCATCATCGGCAGCAGAATTGTCATCATCAGCAATGTCATCAGCAAACTTACCATCATCATCATTTGCGTTACCAACAGTAGCAGAATCATCACCATTTTTATGACCATTTTTATGACCACTACATACACCACCATCACTTCTTCACGCATCATCACCATCACCACTTCACACATCACCACATCACACACACAGTTAACATCACCACCATCACCACTTCACACACAGTTAACATCACCACCATCACCACCATCACCACTTCACACAAACAGTTAACATCACCACCATCAGCACTTCACACACAGTTAACATCACCACCATCACCACTTCACACACAGTTAACATCACCACCATCACCACCATCACCACTTCACACAAACAGTTAACATCACCACCATCACCACTTCACACACACAGTTAACATCACCACCATCACCACTTCACACACACAGTTAACATCACCACCATCACCACTTCACACAAACAGTTAACATCACCACCATCACCACTTCACACACACAGTTAACATCACCACCATCACCACTTCACACACACAGTTAACATCACCACCATCACCACTTCACACACAGTTAACATCACCACCATCACCACTTCACACATCACACACACAGTTAACATCACCACTTCACACACAGTTAACATCACATCACCACATCACACACACAGTTAACATCACCACTTCACACACAGTTAACATCACATCACCACATCACACACACAGTGAACATCACCACTGCACACACACAATTAACACCACCACCATCACCACCCGCACCTTTGCTCGCCCCCTTGCCGCCACCCTTCGCTTTAGGCCCCATCTCTTCGGCGGGGGGTGGGGATATGCTAGGAGAAAGGGGGGCCCTTGCTAGGAGAAAGGGGGGCCCTTGCTAGGAGAAAGGGGGCCCTTGCTAGGAGAAAGGGGGGCCCTTGCTAGGAGAAAGGGGGGGCCCTTGCTAGGAGAAAGGGGGGCCCTTGCTAGGAGAAAGGGGGGCCCTTGCTAGGAGAAAGGGGGGCCCTTGTTAGGAGAAAGGGGGGCCCTTGCGGAGACCCTGCGGAGTAGCCGAGACCCAGGCAAGAAGAAGAAGACGGAGCAGGGGGGACCCCACCACTCCCAGTGATCTCAATGACGCGTGTCTCGTTACAGTGAAGCCGGCGCGGCCATCTTGGGTAGGGGGCACCACCCCCCCCCACTCACCCCGACTGCGCATGCGCGATGGACGGTGGTGATGGTGAGGAGGCACCCCCCCCTCGCCCCGACTGCGCATGCGCGATGGACGGTGGTGATGGTGAGGAGGCACCCCCCCCCCTCGCCCCGACTGCGCATGCGCGATGGACGGCGGTGGTGGTGAGGCGGTCCCTTAGCAAGATGGCCGCGCGGGCTTCACGCAGAGCAGCCGCCTCGTAGCAGCAGCAGCAGCGTCGTGGTCGAGGGTATTCCTGGTGCTGTGATCGGGGTCCTGGTGCTGTGATCGGGGTCCTGGTGCTGTGATCGGGGTCCTGGTGCTGTGATCGGGGTCCTGGTGGTGTGAACGGGGTCCTGGTGGTGTGAACGGGGTCCTGGTGGTGTGAACGGGGTCCTGGTGGTGTGAACGGGGTCCTGGTGGTGTGAACGGGGTCCTGGTGGTCGTGAACGGGGTCCTGGTGCTGTGATCGGGGTCCTGGTGCTGTGATCGGGTCCTGGTGCTGTGATCGGGGTCCTGGTGGTGTGACGGTGCTGTGATCGGGGTCCTGGTGGTGTGAACGGGGTCCTGGTGGTCGTGAACGGGGTCCTGGTGCTGTGATCGGGGTCCTGGTGCTGTGATCGGGGTCCTGGTGGTGTGAACGGGGTCCTGGTGGTGGTGAACGGGGTCCTGGTGCTGTGATCGGGGTCCTGGTGCTGTGATCGGGGTCCTGGTGCTGTGATCGGGGTCCTGGTGGTGTGAACGGGGTCCTGGTGCTGTGATCGGGGTCCTGGTGCTGTGATCGGGGTCCTGTGTGCTGTGATCGGGGTCCTGGTGCTGTGATCGGGGTTGGTGGTGTGAACGGGGTCCTGGTGGTCGTGAACGGGGTCCTGGTGCTGTGATCGGGGTCCTGGTGCTGTGATCGGGGTCCTGGTGCTGTGATCGGGGTCCTGGTGGTGTGAACGGGGTCCTGGTGGTGTGAACGGGGTCCTGGTGGTCGTGAACGGGGTCCTGGTGCTGTGATCGGGGTCCTGGTGCTGTGATCGGGGTCCTGGTGGTGTGAACGGGGCTCCTGGTGCTGTGATCGGGGTCCTGGTGGTCGTGGACGGGGTCCTGGTGGTCGTGAACGGGGTCCTGGTGGCTGTGAAACGACGACCCCTGCGCGAGACCCCGGTTTCGAACCGTCAGACATGTCGAGGAGACGCGGAGGGGACGAGAAGGGGTCCAAGATCCCGTCGAGTGAGTCGTCCCCCATCTCCCACATAATCCCCTAAACCAGTAGGTTCTTAACCTTCCCTGCAGCCTCAGTAGTGTAGAGTGTTAATGGGTACACAGGGGTTTGATGAAACAAAATAAGTTGTTACATAATTTGTGTGTTTTCGATTGAACGACTACAAATATAACATGGCCGCGTCTCGCTACCATCTTAACACAGCTGTTGTGTTGCCAGAAAAAAGGGGAAAACCTATTGTCATATTTTGGTACTGGCAAAGGAGGTCCCATGATGTAGCTGCTCACCCCGAGCTCTCATTACTCTGATAGTGCATTGTCTTTGTGCTGTGTACGCCTTTTGGCGTCATCTGTTCTAACACCGTTTGAGACTAGGCTCAAAAGAAAGCTGTCTCTGGTGTGGACCAGTTTCAAAGACTACATATATTATAAGAGTATTTTTTGGTTCGCATTCTGACCACAAGTATTGTGGTTAATGCAGACATAATTCCTTGTAAAACGTTTCACACCTGTTTTGTTGCCAGAAAAAAGGGGAAAACCTATCATATTTTGGTACTGGCAAAGGAGGTCCCATGATCTTGGCAAGGACCCTCCCAAAAAAAAGGCCCTTGAGACTCAGGCAGGCTTTCTGGCGGAAACGAGTGCAATAATATTACAAAATAATCGCAGAGTGTTTTCATTCAGACGCTGTCTTTCCGACAGACCTGTTCTTCACCTGAGGACGGCTGCTTGCGTTGTGGCCGAAACGTCGTGAGAATTGTATTTTATTTTTATTATTTTATTATTTTCCTTCTACGTGACTTTACCGAAAGAACCAAGAATAGTGTTTTCACTTTCTTTTGCAGGATTCCGGGTAGAACGTGGAGACGGTGACACTTCCAGGGCATCGTCCTTTGGGCCAGCCTTGCCTCCTGCATTCCGGCCGCAGCAGAAGGTGGAGGATGAGGAGGAGGAGGAGGAAGAAATCGGACCAGTCTTGCCCCCTGGGTTTCGACGGCAGAAGGAGGATGAGGATGACGACGATGACGAGGAGGAGGAGGAGGGGGGCATTGGGCCAGCCTTGGCCCCCGGGTTTTCTGGGCAAAGCGGCACAGCCAGTGGATCAGGGCGGTGTGTGAGCATCACACCACTACCACCAATACCGTCACACAACCATCACAATGCTATAATTACAGCATCACAACACTGTCACACCATCATCACAGTACCAGCAGGGGAGCATAATTAGATCAGTGGAGAGCGGTAAGTGAATGCTTGGAGGGGGGTAGAGTGAGCTGAAAGGGGAGAGGTAGGCATGGGAGAGTATTTTTAAGACGGTGATCACGATCATCTCGTCACTGATGCAGGAATTAATTTGGAGGCAGCGGACCGATCGTGGTATCACGGTAGTGTGCAGTCGTTGGCGATATTCAATGCAGCCGCTGTGTATGTTTGTGTGTGCAGGAGCCCAGTGCGCAAGAATACTGATGACGATGATGACGGCTACTTTGGACCAGCGTTGCCACCTGGGTTTGCGCCGCGGGCATCCATCATTGGCCCCACCATACCCCCAGGTGTCACCGAGCAGGTGCGAGCACACGCGCACGTGCCACCACGACACCACTCGCGGTCACCGCTGTTGCCCAAAAATTTCAATTCTCCAACAATGTTGCTTCAAATTAGTCAAATGGATGAACAGCAATGTCGCCTGCTGCGAAAATTTGGCAGGACCCTCCTGGAAAAAATCCTTATTGATGTTGTACGATCCATCATGTAGCTTTCTTGGGTTAGATCGCGTAAAATTAAGGTTCGTAAAATATCCATAATATAGGTTTCTTGGGTTATATCGTGGAAAATGTACGATCTTAAAATGTACGCGATCTAACCCAAAAAAAACTATATTATGGATGATATTGGTCGCGAAAGCCTGCGTGTTAAACTGATGTACGAGTTGGCACAGTAGGGAGCACAGCTGGTGCATCTGACAGTCAAATCAATCATCCCATGGCACCTGGATCTGTCCCGTGACCTGCAGTCAGCAAGCCTGTGACACTTCAACTGGTCTCAAAGTGCACCTAGCCTGGCGCTGTCGTGACGTCACCGCAACAAAGTGAATGTGAATGGCGGTTGTTGTTGTTGTACGTGCGTGCGTGGTGTGTGACGGCACCATGCAATGTGTCTGCCCCCTACCCTGTCTCCAGGACGACAGTGACTCAGATGGGGAGATCATAGGGCCCATGCCGGCTGAAGGCCCCATTCAGTCGCGAGTGGCCGAGGAGATTGAGCTGCGTTCGCAGCGCATGAAGGACAAGCTCCTGGGCAAGGTGAAGGTTTTAAACATTAATCCGTCTGCTCTGTCCGTTCGTCCGTCCGTCTGGAGTATGGGGGTCACGGTAACTCTCGTTAAGAAGATCCAAAAGAAACAACATTTTGGTATGAAGTTGCGCTGCCGGTATAATACATACCAGAGCAGCCTGCCGGATTGAGTCCGCCAGCCTTTGCAACAAACAGAGAACGTGCTGCCGTTGGGCCCTGTCACTACCCCAGGGATGAACAAAAGAAACCCAACTCAACTAAAACTAACGATGATGATGGAGATCATCGTGTGTTGTATAAAACATCAGCACTGGGGAGACAAAGACGGCCAGGCGTGGCGATGGCCACTCACCCCTCGTGTGCTGTGTTGGCTGTCATAGGTTCTCGCGAACAGCACTTGCCCCAAGAATCTTGACCAATAAAAGTGGTGGATATCTGAACCTGTCCTGGGCCTCTCCTAGGCCGACTCAGCCTTAAATGGGTACCGGGTGCGACCCCTAAAACATCAGCACTGGGGAGACAAAAGCGGCTGGGCGTGGCGCTGGCCACCCATCCCCTCGTGCGTCATGCCATCCTTCACGGGTGCTCGCGAACAGCACTTGCCCCAACCATGTATGTATGTGTGTGTGTGCGTGCACGCGCGTGTGCAGACGGACGAGGGCCCTGTGGTGCGCGAGTCCTGGATGATGGAGCTGCCTGACGACGCGAAGACGTTTGGGCTGGGGCCGCGCTCGTTCCGTCGCAAGGCGGCGCCCGACGCCGGCGACCGCTCCGTGTGGACCGACACGCCGGCGGACCGCGAGCGCCGGGCCAGGGTGAGCGAACGCTTCGCGTGCGGCACGCTGTTATCGCAACGCTCGTTTGCCCGGGAGAGCCAACGAACTGGTTTTAGGGACTCGCGCACTCGGGGACGGGAATTGATCCTTATAGAAATTAATGTACGACGTTGTGGGATGCTGTTGGCATGAACGACGCGATTATAAAATAAAAGCATCATTATTAAGGTGGGACCCAGGCTTTCGGTTTTGTGGAGTGTGGAAACCGTTTTCAAGTTTACATTGTTTCACCCGGTGAGAGCACGAGAGACCAGGCTAGTCTCATTTGCAAGGGTGACCCCTTCATGGTCCATGTTTGTGACGGACCTTATTATTGCCAACATGTTTGTTTACCCAGAAAAGCCTCACCGAGTGATTCTCAAGTCCCTTTTTTAGGAGGGCGGTCCTGCCAAGTGTTCGCAGTAGGGGGGGTGGGGTAACGTTGCCATGAGCCATCCCAATTGAGTAATCTGCAAGGACATTTTTCAGCATTTGGGAGATTTTGGCCAATACAAGCTACATTGTACGGTGCTTTCTTTACCTTTGGAAAGCAACCGGAAAACCCAGAGGAAACCAATGCAGAACTTATAAACTCCATACAGAGAAGACTGCCGAGTCAGGGTCGAACCCAGGGTCTTATTTGCGTGAGGCACAAGTGTGACCACTGCGCCATCTCCCTGCCCGCCCAGTGCTTGATGCTTTTCGTCCGATCGCGGTCATCGTTGACTCGTATAAAACATGCCCCCTTGACGAATATCGTGATATAATATCGTTCACAGTATGAAAATCGTTCACTGCTCTGCATTGATTGGCACCCACCGGTGTGTGTGCGTGTGTCGGCTGGGTTGGGGGGGCTTTGTGCACTGGCTGGGGGGCCGTCTGCGATGGGGGGGGGGGGGGGCTGTGTTCGTACGACTGCAGGAGGGGGACTCCGACAAAGCCGGTGGGAGCGGCAAGAAGAAGAGGAAGCACAAGGTGGAGAGTGAGCCCTCCGAGCAAGACCTTCAGCTGGCCGATGCGGTGGCGGCCTATAACGTGAGCGACACCGCACACTCTCCCCGCTCTCTCTCTCCCTCTCTCACTGCATTCTCCGTCTAACACCACGCGCTCCTGCTAGCGCCCCGCACTCCTAACGTCCTGCTCCCTCTATCTCTCCCTCCACTCTCCCTGTCTCTGTCCAACACACCGCTCTCCCTGTCTCTCTCTGCCACTCGCCTTCTCTCCTTGAGACTCACTGGATCTCACTTCACACGTTCTAAGCAGCCCACTCGCCTCATCTGTCCCTCCCTGTCTCTGCTCGTGGCTCCTGTCTCTCTGCCTAACACCCGACTCTCCCTATATCACACTCAGTCTCACCCTGCAACTCCTCCCCCCCCCCACTTGTGTAAGGTATCTTGAGTTGCAGTTGAATTTAGAATGTATATAAATAGATGTTATTTTCGTTGTTGTTGTTGTCGCACTTTCTGCTTCACCGCTCCCCCCCCACAATCCACAACCACCGTCTCCGCCTAATCACTGCATCGAGGGAGTTGTGGTGCAGTGATTAGCGCATTGCGCTAAGAACTTGGCAACACGAGTTTGAGTTCTGGCCATGGTTACCCATTCGTACGGAGTGATATCTGCACCTGTCCTAGGCCTCCCCTAGGTCGACTCCGGCTGTGATGATGTACCTTGTGCAGTGTGTAAACAGCAGCACTGGGGAGATCACAGCGGATGGGCGTGTTGCTGGGGCCATATCACCCCCTTGTGCACCATCCTGACCTTAATAGGTGTTTGCGAACGGCACTTGTTCCCTACCCTTTAAGCATGTACCCAGTGGCAGGTCTTCGGCTCAGACGGCCTCCATCCTATCTGATGTTGAGCTTTCTCCACCTCCCTTCGCATTATCTCACACGCGGGCAGTGTCGTCAGGCCCAGCGTGGTCACGTGCGGCATCATCACAAGCATCATTGTCACACGCGGCATTGGAAAAACACAGCCACGTCACCTGCAGTCAGCATACGCAGCATCATCACCAGCATTTTTCCAGACCTTCCTTTATCAAGATATCGGCCACTGAGAACGGCCTCTTCTCGACTGTTCCAATCGGACGTCTGTCCTCCCAGAACCCGCTAGAGAGAAGTCCCTCATTTAACTTTTCTGCGCGCGGTGCACGCTCTCACTCGCAGGAGGCCAACCGCGGCGTGTCGCTGATGGACCAGCACAAGCGCAAGCGCAAGTCGGGTGGGGCGGCCACAGGCCCCCCGCCGCCACGCCGGCCGTTCGATCGCGACGTCGACCTGCAGGGGGGCCGCGTGGACGGCAGGAAGCGGCAGGACATCATCGACAAGTCCCGGCTGCTGGGCTCGCGGTTCTCCCACGGCAACAGCCGCATGTTCCTGTGACGGCACCTAGGGGGAGCCCCTCGCCGCGGCCGTTGCGTTCGTCGCGTTGCCGCCCGCGGGGGAAACCGCCCGTAGGTTCGCACCATCTCTGCAGGGTCCCGGAGTGAAGAGGCCCGGTTGTGAACGTGGCGGATGGGGCCTTGGACCGCCCTGCACGAAAGGATTGTCACGGGCATTGCAGTCAGTGGCGTAGCCGCGGTTGATTGGCAGTGGGGGGGCTACGTGGTGGACAGCAGAGGGGCAGTGCGGTGAAATCCATTGCTGTACTGTACTTCTATGCTCCCACATTCATGACGTACACCTTTACCAACACACAGACCGGTATGGTGAAGTATTGTCAAATAACCTCCCACAACTCACATAATATAGATGTACAGTTTGGATTTATAACATAAATGGGATTGCATAGGGATAAGAACGGAGAGGTAGGAGAGGTAGGAGAGTGCGTGGAGGGGAGTAGAGTGAGATGAGAGAGGCAGGAGAGTGCGTGGAGGGGAGTCGAGTGAGATGAGAGGTAGGAGAGTGCATGGAGGGGAGTAGAGTGAGATGAGAGGGGAGAGGCAGGAGAGTGCATGGAGGGGAGTAGAGTGAGATGAGAGGTAGGAGAGTGCGTGGAGGGTAGTAGAGTGAGATGAGAGGGGAGAGACAGGAGAGTGCGTGGAGGGGAGTAGAGTGAGATGAGAGGGGAGGGGCAGGAGAGTGCGTGGAGGGGAGTAGAGTGAGATGAGAGAGGTAGGAGCGTGCGTGGAGGGGAGTAGAGTGAGATGAGAGAGGTAGGAGAGTGCGTGGAGGGTAGTAGAGTGAGATGAGAGGGGAGAAACAGGCAGGGGTCAGTCCATGCAGGATCTCGAAGACGGTGAGTGTGATATTGTAGTTGGCGTGGGATTGGATTGGGGGCCAGTGGAGGGATCTGTGTGTCGGGCGATGTCTCATTTACAGGTGCGGGTTGAGAAGTGAGACAGCATTTTTTGTTACATGAATGTTTGAAGAATCACTTTAGATCGGCTTTTACTCTCGACCAAGGCATGTCACGTATATACTTTGGCAATAAACCATTGCTTTTTATGTTCTGGATTCTATGAACTGGTTCAGAGGATCACACGCACATGGTGGGAGCCTGCTACCAGTTTTGTGGAGTGTGGAAGCCTTTTCATATTGGACATTTATGTTGGTGGGTGATGGACATTATATTATTACAGTAAAACCTTGGATTGCGCGCATAATTCGTTCCGTAAATGTGTTTGTAATCCAAAGCACTCGTATATCAAAGCACTCGTATATCAGTAGTGATCACGTGACGCTCGGCAGAACAAAGCGTATACACGTACTACTCGTATTGCAAGACCTCGCTCGTTTATCAAATTAATATTTATTGAAAAATTTGCTCGTCTTGCAAAACACTCGCAGACCAAGTTACTCGCAATCCAAGGTTTTACTGTATTACCAATGCTCTTGTTTCGCCGGAAACGACTCGCTGAATCTCAAGAGTATTTTTCAGGAGGGTCCTGCCTGCTTTTCGCAGTAGGGGGGCGATGTCGCTGATGCGTATTCCCGATTGAGTAATTTTAAGGTGCGTTGTCAGCATTGGGATGTTTTTGCCCCCAATACCAGTTTACATTGTGCGGTGTATTTTTCATTTTTTTTTTATTTCTCTACGGAAGGAAACCAGAGAACCCGGAGGAAACCGATGCACAATTTGGGGAGAACATACAAACTCCACCCAGAAGTAGCGCCCTTCATTGGGGATCGAACCCAGGCTGCTGCTTCTTGCTGCGATGTGCAAAGCGTCGGCGCTGGACCACCAAAATGTGGTGGCTCCAGGTCAGGCTTGCGAGCGAGCTCCATCACTGGGCTTTTGCAATCGCAGGAGACACGAGCAGCTGGCGAGTTTTATTACAATTAGAGTAATTGGGAGTACAAAGAAAGATAACATGAAACACGCTCCTATTCGCAAGGGGGCCCTGGGTTAAATCGTAGTGTTTTGATTTTAAAATCGCACAGGCGAAGCCGCACATCGTAATTAATAATTAGGGTAGTTTATCTTGGGTTAGATCACTGTGTTGGTATAATGCCAACCTCTTGTTTTTAACTATAACCCTCCACCACCCAACAGAGGCAATCAAAATTAAATAGTCACGTGGGAAACATAAACTAGGGATCATGAACACAACATCTGAAGGTGAAAAGCCAGTCGGAATTATAATAAGAATCGGGTATTAAAGCAAATACTGTATTAAATCCATCATGCACAACATGCACCCACACATTAAATAAACCTCAGGTCAAATTAAATACCGCGCTTATTATTTTGAGAAAGCGTATTAATTAACTCGAAGTGCACTGAAATACAAAAGAGTATAATTTAGCTTTTTCAGTTTGTACTCTTTGGTTCTTTTGGTAAAGTCACGTAGTTAGAAATAAAATTTAAAAAATCACGACGTTTCGATCGCAACACAAGCAGTCGTCATCAGGACTGATGACGGATTCTTGCAGTCACGAAAGCTTCAAATCAAGATTTTTCAGTTTGGTTCATTCCCCGTTCGTCCACGTGTCTTGTCTACGCCGCACTGTTGTTTGTGTTTGGTCTAAGATCACTTCTCTATCCCGGCGGTCATTTCGTTAACTTCTCAAATTCCCCGTTGTTATTTTTTGGAACCTCGGCAGAATGTACCCGGCGGGTCAATTTCTCACTAGAAATTTTTTGGAACGCTGGTGGGCTGGGCTGCCTGGCGTCAAGTAAGGGTTATAGGCGTAAGGCACTACCACTACTACTACACGGGTACAAGGTGTGCCAAAGCATAATCCGATATTAATGTAATCTATGATGAGGTTCATAACACGACTCGCACGGTATTCTCCCTAGGAGGAACACGAACCACGTGGTGAGCCGGCACCAACAATTCCCTGAGCTCTGCGTTCCTCTATCCATGGAGATGTTGTCGGCCAATCAATGAGTGTTTACTTGTGGGCGGACATCAGGAGCACACGTGGGAGGGGGAAACGCTCGATCCCACACAGATGGAACAGGCGGTGGGTGTCTCGCTTTACTGAACCCCATTCCTGCCAGTCGCGGTTACGGCTCCCCCTCGACACCCACCCACGGGAAGGGAGTTTGACGGCCATCTGCGTGTGATCCATCAACCCTCGCCGCTGCCTGCACAGTGCCGGACTACAGGCAGCTACGTGCAGCAGCGTAGCAGGCACCGCTAAGAACCCTCGCTTCGTCGGATGGAGGGCGACGGTGTCAAGATAATTCCAGGAACAGCTCTGCCGGGCTGTTCTGGCTGAACATTAGCACTGGATGTACTGCGTGGGAAGCACGGTATTAATAGGATTGATTGGTGGAGGTGGTGACAGACGCAGTATATATACACACACACGCACACGTGTTGAAGCAGTGGCATTTAAATTAATAAGGTGATTTAGAATCAAAGTAATCAAAGCACAGTAAACGTGGAACCAACATTATTGGTCCAACGGTTAAGACCACACGCCAACGTTGGACCACGTGCCCACCAACGTTGGGTCAACGTTGGACCACGTGCAGTGGATTGACCATGGCTGATGGTTGAGGATGATTGACCAATGCCGTTTCAGTGGTCATCCTATAGAGAGACTCGCACCCGCCATAGTAATGTGGAATGTCCACCACTGCCCCCCCAATGTCTCCACGTGCTCCTTTGAGAAGGAACTCGCTTTGTAACTCGCCATCAGACTGGTCGACACTTACACAGATATGGAAAAAACGACTTCTAATACAGTGTATAAAGGTGTCAGTTTTTGTACCAGTTGAAAGGGTAAAAACCTATTACTATATTTTGCCACTGGTAAAGGAGGTCTCATAGTGACTTCTAATACCTTTTAGGGAAAAAAAAATTTAATCGCCCCCCCCTCCCTATCCCCGTGATCAAATAAACCTCTTAACTGTAAATAAATTCTTTTTTAATTGGAATTTATTCATTACCCGTAGAACATTAATTCAAAACACTGGAGAGAAAACCTCTGATCTGACACCAGACTCCACCCCTCCCCTGGCCTCTTCTCCCCCCGCCCCCCCTCCCCCCGGGCCCCTCCCCCTGGCCCCCATTCCCCCCCACTGGCCTCCCCCCGGGCCCCTCCCCTCTGGCACACCCCCTCCCATCTTGCCCCGCCCCCTCCAACCCTTCCCACCCTCCCTTCCAAGCCCCTCCCCCCTATCCTCCATACCGAGGCCCCTCCCCTCTGGCACGCCCCTCCCACTCTCCCCCCGAGGCCCCCCCCCTCTGACACGCCCCTCCCACTCTCCCCCCGAGGCCCCGCCCCTCTGGCACGCCCCTCCCACTCTCCCCCCGAGGCCCCTCCCCTCTGACACGCCCCTCTCCCCGGGCCCTTCCCACTCTCCCCCCGGGCCCCTCCCCTCTGACACGCCCCTCCCACTCTCCCCCCGAGGCCCCTCCCCTCTGACACGCCCCTCCCACTCTCCCCCCGAGGCCCCTCCCCTCTGACACGCCCCTCCCACTCCCCCCCCCCCGGCCCCTCCCCTCTGGCACGCCCCTCCCACTCTCCCCCCGAGGCCCCTCCCCTCTCCCCCACCCAAATTCCCCCCCACCCTCACATAGCGATGACGTAATGTCACCCCGCGCCGATTGGCTCTGCCCCGTGTCGGCGAGGCCACGTGACCCGCCGTTGTCCAATGGGAAGGAGTCGAGGGCCGCGTTCGTTGTGTTTGAATTTGCGACGTTGGGGACGCGAGGAATCGGAGCCTCTGCCCGTGTCTCTCTGTCTCCCGTGTCTCTCTACTTTGTCTGTCTCCCTCTGTCTCTGTGTCACCCTATTGCCTCGGTGCGTCGTCTTAGTGTGTCTCTTTACCCCGTCTCGCTAGGTAGCCCTGCGTGTCAGTCTCGTGGTGTCTTCATTAGTCCGGTTGTCTTAGTGCGTGTGTCTTAGTGTTGTCTCCATACACGAAGACGCACGTGTCTGACTTCGTGTCTCGCCCCGTGTACGTCTCCCTCTGTGTATCTAAGTGTCTGTGTCTTTCTATAGGCCTTGTATCACCTGTGTCTCGGCTTGCCTGTCTCCCCAGTGTCTTCATAGAGTATCTCTGTGTCTTTCTGAATCTCTCTCCAGAGTATCAGGTGTCCACCGATGTCTCTGAGTATTTCTCTGCCTCGCTGAGCCCTCCCCATGTCTCCACGTGTCTCACCTGAGTCTTAGCCTCTCCAGTGGATCTCCCCCTCGAGACCCCGTGTCTCCCACGTGTCCCCTGTGTCTTCATCAAGACCCCGTGTCTCCACGTGTCTCCGTCGTGTCCCCCGTGTCTCCCCGTGTCTCCCCGTGTCTCCCCGTGTCCCCCGTGTCTCCCCGTGTCTCCCCCGTGTCTCCCCGTGTCTCCCCCGTGTCCCCCGTGTCTCCATCAAGACCCCGTGTCTCCCCGTGTCTCCCCCGTGTCTCCCCCGCCACCGGTAGTCTCAATGGACCGAGACGTGAGCGCGCTCTGCGAGAGCACGATGACTCAGGGCGCCGAGGAGACGGTGCTAAGCGACACCCCAGGTGAGACACGTGTGTGTGTGTGGACGTGTGTGTGTACACGTGTGTGTGTGTGGACGTGTGTGTGTACACGTGTGTGTGTGTGTACATGTGTGTGCGCGTGTGGGTACGTGTGTACACGTGTGTGTGTACACGTGTGTGTGTACACGTGTGTGTGTGTACATGTGTGTGCGCGTGTGGATACGTGTGTACACGTGTGTGTGTGTGTGTACACGTGTGTGTGTGTGTACATGTGTGTGCACGTAGACCTGTGTGTGTGTGTGTACACCTGTGTGTGTGTACACCTGTGTGTACACCTGTGTGTGTGTGTACATGGCCTGGCACAAGCATCGTGGTGACGTCACCGCCACTTAGTGGCGAATGGCGGTTGTTGTTTGTGTGTGTACACCTGTGTGTGCGTGTGTACACCTGTGTGTGTGTGTACGCCTGTGTACGTGTGTACGCCGGTGTGTGTACACCTGTGTGTGTGTACGCCGGTGTGTGTACACCTGTGTGTGTACGCCTGTGTGAACGTACACCTGTGTGAACGTACACGTGTGTACACCTGTGTGTGTGTACACCTGTGTGTGTACGCCGGTGTGTGTACATCTGTGTGAACGTACACGTGTATACACCGGTGTGTGTATGCGTGGTGCTGACCACCCACCCCCTCGTGTGCCGTACCGGCCTTCATAGGTGCTCGCGAACAGCACTTGCCCCTACAGTCTGCTCAGGCTACACGGGGGATCTTTACGTGTCCACGTCTTCCGTAGATCTACCAGTGGCCCCATGGCACCGAGGTGTCTGCCGTGACATGCTAGCGAGAATTTGACGCTTCACGTGGCGGGATTGGCCTCTGATGTTGTTTGTGTGTGTGTGGACACGTGTGTGTGTGTGTGGACACGTGTGTGTGTGTGTGTGGACACGTGTGTGTGTGTGGACATGTGTGTGTGTGTGTGGACACGTGTGTGTGTGTGTGGACACGTGTGTGTGTGTGTGGACACGTGTGTGTGTGTGTGTGGACACGTGTGTGTGTGTGGACACGTGTGTGTGTGTGGACACGTGTGTGTGTGTGTGTGTGGACACGTGTGTGTGTATGTGGACACGTGTGTGTGTGTGTAATCTTAATTTGGAGCTTTCGTGACTGCAGGAATTACTCTTTTGTTCTTTCGGTAAAGTGACGTATAAAGATAAAATAATAAATTAAATACTAGCATACGACGTTTCGATTGCAACACAAGCAATCATCATCAGGTATAAATGAAATAGAAACACAAATCTAGCATACTTAGAAATGGAATGTAATACAACAGAGAGTCGTATAACATAACAGTCAACACCCTACCCGGTTGATTACGTTCTTCCTGAGAATGCTAAATTTGAGAGAGAGATAAAACACAGAACCAGAGACATATAGACAGACATATAAGCAGACAGATATCACAGAGATACATAGAGAGAGAACAAACATAGGCACACAGAGAAACCACGCATCTGTGTCGAGGCCTGTGTGTGTGCGTCTGTTACAGCAGAGGTGGAGGGAATTCCAACAGGATCTACCTACATCTCTGATTTATTGACCTGGTCAAGGACTATGATACCATCAGTAGGCCTGGGCTCTGGGTTGTTCTTCGTGCTTTCGGAGTCCCTGACCCTCTGCTCACGATCATTAAGGACCTTCATGATGGTAAAACTACGTGGCCGGGAGTCGGAGCCATTCCCTGTACACCTTGGGGTGCGACAGGGATGTCCTCTGGCTCCCGCATTATTTAACATCTATTTTGACCACGTAGTTCGTGAAGCCTTCAATAGCTCTACCAGAGGAATCTCCATTTGGTACAGATACAATGGGAGGCTGATCGATGGTCTCGTATAAGTAGCTGGTACGATGCGTGTGCCGTGCCAGCCTTCATCGGTGCTACTCGCGAACAGCACTTGCGCCAACAGTCTGGCAAGGCTATACGGGGCATCTTTGTCTTGTATCTGTACCTTGTGCTTGTGTGTGTACACGTGTACCTATCTGTATGTACCTGTGTCTGTCTCTCGCCGTTTTTATACAGTCCCCGTGTCTCCTTGTGTGCCTCCTTTTGCATCTGTGTACTGTACTTGTGTACCTGTTTGGGCACGTGTGTCTGTGTGTACACATGCACCTACACACGTGTACCTGTGTGAGCACGTGTGTCTGTGTGTACACATGCACCTACACACGTGTACCTGTGTGGGCACGTGTGTCTGTGTGTACACATGCACCTACACACGTGTACCTGTGTGGGCACGTGTGTCTGTGTGTACACATGCACCTACACACGTGTACCTGTGTGGGCACGTGTGTCTGTGTGTACACATGCACCTACACACGTGTACCCTCTGTGTGTATTCAACGACCACGGCTGACCGTAGCGGCAAGTGGTGATTGAACCTGCGGGACCCGTAGATCATTTCAGCCTTCATTGAGTACCCGGGTATAATAAACATCACCAGCTGGGGAGACAAAGGCGGCCGGGCGTTGCCGCTGAACACACCACCACCCCTCCCTCGTGTACACTCAGGGGGATCTTTGTCTGTTGTTGTGTTGCATTTTCCAGTGAATCGGTGTTATTGCCCTTGTACTTTGCCCAAGATTATCTGAGCCACTTTTACATCAGCAGAGAATGGAATTTTTTGTGTACTCTCTTTTTTTTGGGGGGGGGGGGGTATTTTTAAATCGACTCTGCATATCCTTGTTACGTCCCTGCCATCTAAATAATTATTTTGTCACCGTTTTTGCAAGCTGTGTCAAGTGCCTTGAGTTGAAGACGCGCTATAAATAGACAAATGAGATGAGATATAGCTGTCACACCCTGAGACTGGGAGATCTCTCTTACAGAGCAGTTGCCGACCCATTCTTAAATTCCCGGAGTCAAGAGCAGAGTTTTACCTTCTGGGATCTGCCGATTACTGAGCACGTATTGCGCGAAAATTCGGTTCATATCACGCGTTGAGCCTGCTAGTTGCAGAAGTTCGCGGTTCGAATATGTATCCAGGAAAGACTCAATGAGTCCCATGACTTTTTTTCAGGCGTGTCCTGCAACATTGGGATGTTTGGCCAGTGCCATTGAATGAGCGTTTGACTTCATGTACGTTGAGCTTCTTTCGCGCCGTATGTACCCAACCGTGCTAAGCGGAGGTGCGGGGGAGGTCAACAAACTGAACGCAAAAAAAATTAGTTCTGAAGAAATTAGTTTGTAAATCTAGATGTAAAAGTGCATAATAGTGGCTTCATAATATCGGAAGGAAGAGTATTCCAGACGGCCGCAGAAGCGCATTCATGTGGGATGAACACGGACAACCCGGAGAAAATCCAGCACTGCCATCCCCTGGCCATACCTAGCAGCCCTGTACCCTGCAACACCTGGCAAGCCCTGGTGGCCACCCATCCAAACAAACCAGCCTCAACCCTGCTGAGCTTTTGATATCGACGAGATGCAGGGGGTGTTGGGGGGGGGGGTCGCATTTAAGGGTGATTTGATCGCAAATGTTTTCAGGGCGTCTGTGCACAGTGTCACGATTTATCAATAAATAACAACTCATGATTAGCAGAAAATGTCAGATGACATGAAATCAATACGCAATCTCTTAGCCAAAAATAATGCCGGGTTTGGTAGCTGCCGCCACCACCGCCGCAGCCGCCACCACCGCGTTCCGAAGGGGGGGAAGCGTCTCTCTTCAGCGCCGTCCTCCGGCACGTTGAGACTGGCCGGTGCTCGGATGGGCGGCCACCGCCGGGGCTTGCCAGGTGCTGTAGGCGCGGGGCTGTGGAGGCGAAGACAGGAGGTGGCGGTGTTGAGCGTTGCCTGCTCGGCCGTTGTGCATCGCGTGGGTTTTTCTTTCTTCTCCCGGTTGTTTTCCCCACTTCTTTCCGAGAAGATGCCAAATGCGTTGGTGGCGTTGGCGCAAACGTGTCCCGGTGTAGCAGGGCAGGACCCTCCTGAAAGAGATTTGAGACTCGCTGAGGCTTTCCTGGGTAAATAATTGACATTATTAAATGAAGATTTTGAGAGTGCATGCTAAATGATTGGCACGATTGCGAGAGTTGAATGCAAGTGTGTTTTTTCAGATATCTCTTGTTTAAAAATTAATCTTACGTTGGCTACAATTTAATGGGCTCGGGTCTCGGAACAGAGGTGGCGACAGTGGTTGGTGCACCGCGCTATAGACCCAATGACATGAGTTTGATTCCCGGTCACGGCTTTCGCCATTGGCGCGTAATATATGCATCACAGACAGTGTTGGGAGGTTGCGAGATTGTTTGCTTGCTGTATCGTTGATGGGGTGTGCGCTACAGTCGGTGTGTAAGGTGTGGTGAGGTTATCGGTGTGCTGCGTCGTTGATGCGGTGTGTGCTACAGTCGGTGTGGTGAGGTTATCGGCGTGCTGCGTCGTTGACGGGGTGTGTGCTACAGGCGGTGTGGTGAGGTTATCGGCGTGCTGCATCGTTGACGGGGTGTGTGCTACAGGCAGTGTGGTGAGGTTATCGGCGTGCCAGCTCATTGACCTGCTGTGCGCTTGACCTCAGGTGGTGTGGATAGCGTGGAGCCGCGTGTGGTGTTGGTGGGAGAGGCGGCGAACGACCAAGAGCTGGTCATCGCGCTGGAGGTGATGGCACCCCGGTTGCCCTGGCTACAGACTTGCACAGAGACCTGTAGAGTTACATGGAGACCTATAGACTCGCACGGAGACCTCTAGAGAGAGTTACATGGAGACCTGTCGACTCGCATGGACACTTATAGAGTTACATGGAGACCTATAGAGTTACACAGAGACCTGTCGACTCGCACTGAGACCTATAGAGTTACACGGAGACCTGTAGACTCGCATGGAGATCTACAGACTTAGGGAGAGATTATAGACTTAATCAGATGCACGCGGGGTCCTTGGGGATCACATTGAGATCCATAGACACCCACAGACCATATAGAGACCCACAGATTTACATAAGCTCGCAAAGACACCCACTTCGCACAGATAGAGACTCGCACGGAGACACACAGGCACACACAGCGACTCGTCCTGCACAATGCAGAGCGACGTAATGGACGGATTGCACCTTCACAGTCTCCCAGTCGTGCAGATCCCCCACGCACCTCCCGCTCGTTGCCCTCAGCGCCGCCACGGAGTGCTTCTTCACGGACGCTGTGCCTGACCGACGGCCGGTAATCCCGAACCCCCCCCCCCCACCACCCCCAGGCGATGGGGCTGCCGCTGGTGACGTGCGAGACGGGCGAGGACGCAGGGACGAGCGCCAACCCCGAGCAGGAGACGGTGGTGATCGTGGCGGAGTTCTCGGGCCCCGAGTACGAGCGGCTGCTGCCCACGGACTGCCGCATCCTGGGGCCCGCCGTGCTGCTGCGGGCGGCCCGGCGCAAAGAGGTGCGGCGTCGATACGCCGGGGGCGGCCGGGGCGGCGGCGCCTCCCGGCAAGGCGCGGTGGCCTGGGTTCTATTGCCGACGTATGCCCGTTGAGCTTCTTTCGCGCCGTACGTAGCCAGCCGTGCTCACCGGAGGTGCTGCCTACTCAGCCGGCCGTGCTGCGTGGAGTTGGTTGTTCGCTCTCCTCCTGCGCTGCAGAATGTGCGTGGGGGATGCGGAGCGCCGGGGCGGCTGAAAATGCAGCGAGCTGGCACAGTGGGGGGGCGTGGGGGGGGATGAGCCGGTTGCGCCGGTTGTGCATCTGCTGGTCGTCTCAGTCGGTCAACCCGTGGCACCCGGGTGTCCTATCCGTGACCTCCTGCCGGCGAGCCTTCGACATGTCACGTGGCCTGAAAGTGCACCTAGCCTGGCGCAAGGGCTGTGGTGACGACGTCTCTGCCACTTGGTGGCGAACGACTGGTTGTGGGGTGGTTAGCGCACGGTGCGCTACGAACGCAGGCAAACCCGAGTGAGATTCCCGCTCATGGCCAACGCTAGTGACGAGTATATGAACCGGTACTGTGCCTCCCCCAAGTCGACTCAGCATCAAATGAGTACCTGGTGCGATGTGTAAACATCGCCGCTCGGGAGACATAAAGGCCACCGGGCGTGGTGCTGGCCACCCACCCCCTCGTGTGCCGTGCCAGCCTTCACATAGGGGCTCGCTAAAAGCACTCGCCCCAACGGTCTGTTAAAGGCTATACAGGGGGCCCTTTGTCTTTGTTGCAGCCGCTGCCCTACTGCTTGCGCCCGCTGTTCTGCACGGCCATGAGCAGCCTGGTGCTCTGCTTCACTGGCTTCCGCAGCAAGGACGAGCTGGTGAGGACCTGGGGGGGTGTGGGGGGGTGTGGGGGGGTGGTGAGCGAGTGCTAGTGGGGTGAGCGTGTAGGGTGAGCGGGTGTGCCCTGTGAGTGCTCTGAGTGAGTGTGGTTGTATGGGGTGGTGAGCGTGTGTGAGGAGCGTGCTTCTGGTGAGCGAGTGCTAGTGGGGTGAGCATGTAGGGTGAGCGAGTGCTAGTGGGGTGAGCGTGGAGGGTGAGCGAGTGTGCTCTGTGAGTGGGGAGCGGTGGTGTAGCGGTTAGCGCGCTGCGCTATGAACCAGGCGACCCAGGTTCGATTCCTGCCAACACCAGTGACGATTATCTGAACTGGTCCTGGGCCTCACTTAGGTCGACTGAGCCTCAAATGAGTTCCTGGTGCGATGTGTAGACATCGCCGCTAGGGAGACAAAGGCGGCCGGGCGTGGTGTTGGCCACCCACCCCCTCGTGTGCCGTGCTGGCCTTTTTATGTACTCGCTAACACCACTTGCCCCTACAGTCTGTTAAGGCTATAAGGGGATCTTCGTCTTTGTTTTGTGAGTGTGTGGTTGTATGGGGTGAGTGTGTGTGGGGAGCGTGCACCTGATGAGCGTGCGTCATTTTAATTTTGTTTCGGTTTCATAATTAGTTTTATTTTTGGTGAGGTGAGGCGTATGTTTCAATGTTGGTTGGAAAACCCTCTTGTTGTGTCGTGGAGGAGCTCGTCGCAGTGATTGGCTGCGCGGGGCCTACAGTAGTGTGTTGTTATCACAGTAGTGTGTTGTTATTACAGTAGTGTGTTGTTATTACAGTATCGTGTTGTTATTACAGTAGTGTGTTGTTATTACAGTAGTGTGTTGTTATTACAGTAGTGTGTTGTTATTATAGTAGTGTGTTGTTATATCAGTATCGCGGTCCGCCAATGGTGAGCGTGTGTGCTGGTGAGGAGAGCGGGCATGTGTTGGGTGAGCACGCGAGCTAGTGAGCGTGTTGCGTAATGAGCGTACGTGGTGAGCGTATGAGGTAAACGAGCTGGTGAACGCGCGTGGGGGAGTGAGCTGTGGTGAGCACGCGTGGTGAACGTGGCTTGGTGGGTGAGGCGTGGTGAGCGGGCTGTGGTGGAGCGGGCTGTGGTGGAGCGGGCTGTGGTGAGCGAGCTGTCCCGATGCAGGTGAAGTTGGTGACCCTGGTGCACCACATGGGCGGCAGCATCCGCAAGGATTTCTCGTCCAAGGTCACCCACCTCGTGGCGAACGGCACCCACGGGGACAAGTACCGGGTGAGGGCCGCGCTCTCCACAATCGAGTCTCAACCTCAACTTGTTTGAACCGGCTGCTAATTAGTTGACGAGCCTCGACTTTGCAAGGGTGGGGGGGGGCACCCTGTTGTCACCTGATTACGACGGAAGAAAATGAGAGAGACGATCAAGCAACGGCAAGGAAGCGGAATAGAAATCTGTGCAAAAGCAACTGCGTCCGTCGCGCGACGAAATCGAAAGCGAGTGCGACGTCATCAATCGCTGTTCGCGCGATCCCACCGTTCCTCGGAAGCTCTGCTGGCCCGAGCCTGGACGGCACTCCCACCCCCGTCAAGCGACGGGAGTTCCCGATGGGGGTTCCCGATGGGGGTTCCCGCACCTCGATTTGTGGGGCGGCGGACACGGGGATGGGCGGTTGCAGATCACGGGAGTAACCGATGATAGGAGTCGCGGATAACACGGCAGCCCTTGGTGTGGAAGGGAGTTTCTCTGCGCCTACGTGGTGGGGTGGGGGGTTAGTGGGAGGGCGAGCGGCCGTGTTTCCAGGCCAGCCAGTATCTTTAGATTCTTTATTTATCCTGGAGAAATCCGTGTGGTGGCGCGTGTGTCACGTGGTGTGTGTGCTTTGCGTGACGTGTGTTCGTGTGGTGCGTGTCGCGTGTGTGTGGTGTGGCGTGTGTGACGCACTGCGTGGTCCGTGTGGTGTGTGTCGCTTGATCTGCGTGGCGTGTCACGTGGTCTGTGTGGCGTGTCACGTGGTGTGTGTGGCGTGTCACGTGGTGTGTGTGGTTTGTGCGCTTCGTGTGTGGCGTGGCGTGCGTGGCCGCACTGCGTGGTCCGTGTGGTGTGTGTGTCGCTTGGTGTGTGTGGTGTGTCACGTGGTCTGTGTGGCGTGTCACGTGGGATGTGTGGTTTGTGCGCTTCGTGTGTGGCGTGTCGCATGTGTGTGTGTGGCGTACTGCGTGGTCCGTGTGGTGTGTGTGTGTCGCTTGGTGTGCGTGGCGTGTCACGTGGTGTGTGTGGCGTGTCACGTGGTTTGTGCGCTTCGTGCGTGGCCTGTCTTGTGGTGTGTGTGGTGTGGCGTGCGTGGCCGCACTGCGTGGTCCGTGTGGTGTGTGTGTCGCTTGGTGTGCGTGTCGTGGTGTGTATGGCGCGCGGCGTGGTGTGTGTGTCGCTTGGTGACCGTGGCGTGGTGTGTATGGCGCGCGGCGTGGTGTGCGCGGCGTTTGCGCAGGTGGCAGTGAGCATGGGGATCCCCATCATGCGCGAGGAGTGGATCCACAAGGCATGGGACAGGAGGCTTGAGCCGTGAGTGTGGGGCTGGGCGGTGACGCGGCTGGGCTGTGGTGTACGTGCAACGCCGGACAAGTGGCCACCGTTGCTGTTTGCAAAGGTCGCCACTTGTCACAGTGTGAGATAGTATTTTGATCCCATAGAATTTTGACCCTGGGATCAGCATACTATATATATACACACTCGGACTTGGTGGTGCACAGACTATAATTGCAATATGATTTCCCCCGCCTGGGTTGGACTCCTGACACTGGCGATCTTTATGTGTGGATTCTTCTCTCTCCTTGTTTCTTCTGCGTGCTTTTCCGTCGGGTCTTTTGGGTTCCTTCTTTGTAGCCAATTCAAAACTACATTGACTTTGCACATTACACAATTGGGATTGCACACAGCAAAATTGCTGGGTTAAACAAGCATAAATATATAAATGTGTTGTGAAAACCCGCCACCACCCGACACAGCCAACTAGTAATGGTTGTCACGTAAACAGAACGTGGCCAATTCGTCACTAGCACAGCACTAGTGTATAGTGTAGTGTATAGTGTAGTATACTAGTACAGCACACCGGTGGGTTGGAGAGCCAATCCACAACATTTACAATCTGAGTACGACGTTTCGCCAGTAATTACAACTCGCTTCATCAGGTGACAGCCAGATTTGTGTTTCGTTCCTTCTATAGAGGTGTAGATGTGGTGACCACGCTTCTGCGCTCTTGCGCCAAGTGTGGGGGTGGGGGATTAATGAGTCGACGGACATTATGCATGCGTATTCTTAGGTTTTTTCGGTAAAGTCACGTAGGTAAAAAAATTATAATTAATAACCTGACTTTACCGAAAAATCCTAAGAATATGAATCCTTGCAGTCACAAAAGCTTCAAATCTAGAATTATGCATGTGCATTATGCGAGCCCTTTGATCTTGTCCTTCCTGTCTATTGAGGTATGGTGCCCTTTATAGGCATGCATTTAAACAATGTATTATTTGATTCTTTTCCACGCAGCACTAAGGCGGTAGCTATCCCAACGGTTAAAATTATTTTTCTTTCTTTCAATTTCGATAGATTATCTAATTAGTCTTGGCCAGTAGTAGCTAGTTTTGCACAGAACTTCAACATTATCAAAATCAATTGAGTGTCCTTGTTGGCACGCGTGTTCTGCTACTGCTGACAGTTGTATTTGGGAGTGTTTAATGTTTCTCTGATGTCCTTTTAGTCTCGTTATGATCATCATATTTGCCCAACATAACATTTTCCACACGTGCAGTTAATCCTGTACACCCCTTATATAGCTTCGGAAATACATCGTTTATCAGTTACTCCCGCAATGTACGGTATTCTGATCGTTTGAATTATTTGGGCAGTTTCAATGCTCGTGTTATTTGGTTTGGTTTTGACATTCAATGCCCTGTTGATTAGTGCATCATTGTAACCGTTCATTTGCAGCGCTTCTCTAACATGTTGAATTTCACTTCTTAGACTGTCACCATCTGACACTTTCTTAGCTCGATGAATGAGCGTCTTGATAAGAGCAGATTTTAGGGTCAGATTGAGGCTTCTTCTTTTGATCCCCTCCTATACCCAAGGGGGGGCGGGGTCAAAATACTTTCTCGCACTTACGTTGCTCACCCACATCCTCCTCCTCCGTCCCTGTGCCCCGTGCCCCATGCCCCGTGCTCGCGCCGCCCCGGCAGGGAGGGCAGCGCGACGGACGAGCCGCTGCTGGCGCTGAAGATGCCGCCGTTTCACGGCTGCTCGCTCAGCTTCCTGGGCTTCTCCGAGGAGGATCAGACGCAGATGCGGGAGCTGGCGCGCATGCAGGGTACGGTACCGGATTTGCGGTGCTACAACTAGTTTTAGTTCCCCCCCCCCCCCCTTGCCCCCCCACCCCTCCACCCCACCCTGCCCACGGGTGGTTGGCAGTGTTTACGTCAAGGTCGTCGGTTCAATCCCTGATCCTAACGATGACTGTTGTTGTTGAGTTGGCGTGTTCTCTCTCTCTCCCCTACCCCCCTTCTCTAAATTTAGAAACAACACGAGCTTCGATTGTTTGGCTGCTGCTCTAAACTCCCAGCGTGTGATGATGAGAATGATGATCAGTTTAACACGTCGGCTTTCGCGACCAATATTATTCATAAGCAACGGGTTTTTTTTGGGTTTAGATCGCGTTATTTATAAATGTGTCGTAACCCTCCACCACCCGACATGGCCAATTAGCAAAAAAGTGTCACGTTGACAAAAGACAAATAGTTCACTATTTTAGCCCACCGGTGTGTTGAAGTGTGAAACCACAATATTTACAATTTTTGAGTAGCACGACGTTTCGCTGGTAATTGCATCCAGCATCATCGGGCAATTTGCCAGAATGGTGAGGCTCTGCTCTTGCTCCCGGTCTTAAATAGAGCAGCAGCAGCAGCAGGGTGACGTCATCATTTAACTCATAAGGTGCAACGATTTGATGATATCAGCCACTTCGATGCGCTATCATCACGTGTGGCCAGTGCCGCCTCTGAAAAAGAGCAAACGGCTCCTCGTGGGTTTTACCTGGATTGAATAAAATCAGAACATGCCCTGTGAGATTTGTTGTTCATACTTGGCGATGAGTGAGCTGAGAAAATGAACAATCGGCGCGCCGTTGAACGCTTGCGTGCCACGTGACGGTGACCATCTGTTTGGGCGCGGTCGGGTGGTGGAGGGTTTTACCACAAAGGCATGGGGGGGGGGGCCCCATCGTTACGTCGTGGCCCAACCCAGAAGTCAATGATGAATGTCGGATCATTCACGATCGCAGCCCGCTGCGTTTGATATCCGCGCTGTTGTAGTTGTTTGCAAGGCCACCACGAAGAGAGGCGCTACGTTTATCGTGTGCGGCCTTCGTAGGTGCTACTCGCTAACAGCACTTGCCTCAACGGTCTATTAAGGCTATCTGGGGGGGGGTGGTCTTTATCTTTGCACTCAGGTGGAGAATGCGTGGAGGTGGGGGATGAACGCAGTTCGCACCTGGTGGTGGAGGAGAACATGGTGAAGGTTTTGCCCCCAGAGATTCCGTTCAAGACCTACATCGTCAAGCAAGAGGTTTGGCAGCAGCAGCAGCAGCGCCTACGGGAAGCGCACCCCCCTACTGGCACACGCGCCACCCACGCCACCCACGGCGCCGCATGGCACATTCGCTGCGCCGGGCTTGCACCGTACACCGCATGCACGCGCCAATTATACGGTACATACTACAACAACAACAACCACAGCCACCAATCGCCACTAAGTGGCCATGACGTCACCACGGCGCTCGTGCCAGGCTAGGTGCACTATTGCGTGAAGTGTGGAAGGCCTCGTTGCTGGCAGGAGGTCACGGGGTGACTTGACTGACCGAGATGACTGGCTGAAGCACCGCTTGTGCTCCCCACTATGCCAACCCATCTAAGACAAAGATGCCCCGTATAGCCTTCACAGACTTTTGGGGCAAGTGCTGTTAGCGAGCATCTATGAAGGCCGGAACGGCACACGAGGGGGTTGGGTGGTCAGCACCACGCCCGGCCGCCAACACGCACGTGCACACGCGCACACACACTCACCCATCACTCTGTTACTTGACTCTGTCGCCGTGGTCATCACCGGGGTTCTCCCTGTGTGTGTGTGCCGCGTGGCCGCAGTGGTTCTGGGGCAGCATCCAGATGGAGGCGAGGGCCGAGGAGTCCATCTACACGTTCGAGATGGTGAGTGGCAAATGTATCAAGTCTGCATTGACCACACGTACCTCTGCTAATGTCATGTACGTTGACCTTTTTTCGCACAGTCTGTAGCCTACCGTGCTACTCGGAGGTGGTCAAACGTCCAAACAAATACCCTTAGGTCATGTGTACATTGTTCGTGGAACCGATTGGTCTCCGGTGTTAAGATGTTCGAACACCAAATAGAAACCTTTTGCAAGGCATCAATTCTGCATTAACCACACGCACTTGTGGTGATCATGCTAACAGACACGCCCTATTAATATTCATGCATTGTCTTTGAAACTGATTGGCCTAGTCTCACCACAAGTACTGTGTGGTTAATGCAGAATTGATGCCTTGCACAAGGTTTATATTTGGTGTTTTTGAACATCTTAACACCTGTTTTATTGCCAGAAAGGATTAAACCTATTCTTTTTTTCATCATTTAACATTTCTTTTACCAGGTAACTCCCACTGAGCTATCTAGCACTTTTTCCGAAACGATCTCGCTATTAGAGATGATAGCTCAACGAAGTGACTTATCATTATCATCACGTAGAAATATAGAGCAGCTAAATACTCTAAACCACGTGACGTTGATTCTAAACTTGGAGGGAAAAACCAGAGGACCCGGAGAATATCCATGCAACCACGGAGATAGAAACACGCAGACTCCAAATATACAGCATGTGTCCGGGTTGGGATCGCACCCACAACATCCTGTACACCAGGCGAGGTAGTCGACATCTCATAGCCACCGTGGTGATGATGATGAGAGAGAGAGACACGCAGACTTTGATACTGGCAACAAGGTCCCATTTTGTTATTTGCGCTGCGTGTGACGTTCACCGTCTTGACGGTATCCATCGCACCGGCGGCCGGAGTGCCCCCACCCCCGGACTTCGCGCGGCGTTGGTGACGCCCTCGCCAAGCTCACGCTTTGCCGCGTCACGACCACGACGGTCCACGCCGGCGGTGTGTGTGTGTGTGGCGGCCGGCAGACGGAGAGCCCCTCGCTGAAGACGTGCGTGTCCCAGATGACGCTCGGCACGCCCGTGAGCGGTCAGAAGCGGCGGCGGCGGCGCGAGGCGACGCTTGCGCAGCTGGCGCGCTCCGCGGACCACGGCGCGTCGCCGCTGGTGCCGCCCTGCAAACGCAAGTCCACCGACACGTCGCTCGGCTCGCTGCTCAACATCTCCAACACGCCCGACACGCCGATGCTCGGTGGGTTCGGCGGCGGATCGCGGCGGCGGCGGCGCCGGGCGGTGGTGCCTTGGCGCCCGCGGCGTGGTACGGGGGCGAGATTTTGGTCCCCGTGTCTCGCGCACGACCGCCGTGACCTGCCCGGCAGCGCGTAGGTTTCTCGTAGAACCTACCCATGGAAGTTGACCGCAGAGATACCCCCTGAGATTTCTGAAAGCGACCTTTGGTCCACACGGTCGGGCACGTGACCACTCGCTCTGCCGTACGAAAGTAATGTCCAACGCCTTATTAAATATGTCAAAGCTGGAATTAAGCCAAATTAAGTGCATAATGTATTAATATAGTGGTTTAATTGAGTGGGTTTCTTTTTTAGTCAAGTTGTTGGTGGCCGGGCCGAGACCATCAACTCTGCAGCACTTGGCAATCCGGTTTAACCCGGGGCGGCTGAACACCGGATTTGAACCCAGAATCTCTGCGGTGCAGGCTCGGTGTTCCGATCTCTCGAGCTCTGAGCCAGCACCGCTGAGATCGATCGCGGTGGCCGGGCGAGCCACCCAGCGGGCTTAATCGCTGCGCCACATCACGCCCAGCGCGGCACGCGCACTGCTCGGCACGGCCACAACGTTGTACTGCGCTGGGCACGAGCGGCCGTATTCCTCGTCGCGGCCTGGCTCAAACGCAACCCCACAGGCGCGTCGAGCGAGCGGCTCGGCTCGGGCTCGGCTCGTGGAAATCCCGAGCACACGGCTGGGACCGTGGCTCAGAGCCCGGCTCGGGTAAGGCACGGCTTTGGGCTGACGTGGTTGAGCCAAAGCCAAGCCTGAGCCTGAGCCTGCGCTCCCGTGACTGAGCAATCGGGGCCGAAGCAGATTGGTACCGCTCTGTGAAACGTTGTTGTCGCCACGTGTGTGTGTGTGTGTGCGTGCGCGAGGCGTGCGCGCACGTGCGCGTGCGTGCGTGTGTTCCCTCCGGCAGGTTTGAGTGGTAGCCCAGGCCCGGTAGCAGAAGACAGGAGCTGGCAGGAAGGCGTGGGGGGTCGCAGGTGTTCCCTGCGCCCCCTCGGAGGCAAGAGGAACCCCTGGGCCACCCCTGTCGGCGGCAAGAGGGCCAGGGGCAGGAGAGGCAGCGCAGGGACGAGCGAGAAGTTTGCGCGAAGAGCAGCAAGTCGACGCCGCGTCGCAGGAAGTGCAGGGAGCGCGCTCGGCCGAGGAGTTGCAGGGAGCGTTGAGGAAGGCGGCGATGCGAGGAAAGCGAGAGTCGAGCGGGAGGTTGTAGAGGGTGGGGTGGAGGCTGCCTGGACGGGCCACGGGGACACGTTGAGCATTGCAGGGAGGGCTTGGATTGAGGAAAGTCTCGGCGAAGCTTCAGGGAGTTGGCAAGGAGGCAGCGAGCGAGGGAGGCAGGGGGGGCGGCCCCGCGGCCGCATCGGGGAGGCCTCGTGCCGCCGCGAAAGCCGAGGGCAGCAGGGCCTGAAGGACGCGGTCGCGTGGCCCTCGCCGTTGCCCGTGGTCGACGTGTGGCACGGCAGCGCGGCCGTCCCGCTGTGCAGCAGCACTCCCAAGATGTTGGTGGCCGCGAGCGACGGCCCGTGGCCGAGGCCCACCGAGGACAGGCCTTGGGGTCGAGGGTCGGTGCCGGATATCCCGGAGGGACCGGCCGACCTCGTGGAAGAAGAGGGCTCCTCGGTGGAGCGACAGGGAGGTCCTAGGGGAGGGTCGGGGGGCCAATTGCTGGAGGAAAAGGAGGGGATGGAGGCCTTCGTGAGCTCCGCGACACTGAGGCCTGGCGCTGAGGCCGTAGGTCAGAGGCCACGGGGGGGTGAGTCGCGCGCAGCGGGGGAGCGGGCGGGGGGGGGGGGTGAGGAGGAGGGGATATTGGAGTAAGTTTATGGAGGAGAGGCTTGTAAGGAAGGAGAGGCTTGTAAGGAAGAGGAGGCCGGTCATGTCCGAGAGCCATGTTACGATGTCAGGCTTAGTGGGAGCCGTGCCGCTGTGGGTCTGTCTGTGTGGGTTGGTGGAGATGTGATGGGGTGCGTTGTGTGGGTTAGTGTCTGGGTGTGTGGGTTTGGGGGATGTCTGGATGTGTGGTGTTAGTATGGGGGTGTGTTTGGGGGTGTGGGTGTGTGGGTGTGGTGTGGTTAGTATTGGGAGGGTCTAGGGGTGTGGCACTGCAGTGGGGTCGTGGTGGGGTCGCGGCGGGGTCACGGTGCCGGGAGTTTTGACCGAAGCCGTGGTATCGCGCCGCGCGGCTCAGCCACGTTTTGTCCGTGCGGCGGCCCCCAGACTCGGCGCGAAGGGGGAACGGGATGGGGGGCTCGTCCACTCCGCTGCCGCCCCCCAAGCCGTCGGCGCGCTGGCAGGTGGCGATGGAGCTGCTGCAGACAGAGTCCAACTACGTGGACATCCTCACCAACATCATTGAGGTGCCTGCGTGCGTGCCTGTGCTCGCGCGTTGCAGCCTTCCTTCCACTTTAATTGGGAAAACATTGGGTGATGGGTATCTGTGTAAGCCGTGCGGGGACAGCTGCCGCTGGGGGGGTCCCCTCGGCTAGACTGGCGGCAAGGCAATGGAATGGTTAAGACGAGAGATGCGATGTCAGGCGCTTCGAGTTGCCGGAGAATTTAAGCGAGGAAATCTTTCTCTGTGTGGGTCTATGGGTTTCAGCGTGAATCTGTTTGGGGTCTTTGCGTGGGTCTGTTGGTCTCTGTGCGAGAGTCTACGAGTCTCTGTGAGAGTCGATGGGTCTCTCCCGCGCGCAGCTGTTCAAGGAGCCCCTGGAGAGGGTGGCGCAGCCCGGGGGGCCCATCCTGCCAGCCGAGGAGATCAAGGCCATCTTCAGCAGCATCCCCGACATCCTGGACGTGCACACTCGCATGAAGGTGCCACCGCCTCCTCCTCTCCCCTCCCATGTTGCCGCTCGCTCGCTCAATGCCAGCGCCAGGGGCTGTGCGCTGTGTTAGTTATGGTGAGATGGTGGTGCGGTAGCGGCGCTGCTGTTGGTGAGACGCTGCGGCTGCGGTGTTCGCGCGAGTGCCGATTGCGCTAACCGCGCGCGTCGTGGTTGTGTGGACCCCAGGCCGACTTGGAGCAGAGCATGATCGAGTGGACGGACAACACGAGCATCGGGGACATCATCCTGCGCTACGTAGGCCCCGCAACCCCCCCCCCCCCATCCCAGCGTCGTCAGTGGCAACCGTTGTGCATTAGCATGTTGTTGGTTGTTGTGGGTACGGTTATTGTTGTGTGCATTGTTGTTCTGGCTGCCGTGTGTCTTGGGCGCTGTTGCGGCTGTCGCTGCAGGTGTAGTGGCGAAATGTTATCTGCCTCGCCTGGTTTACAGGAGGTTGCGGGTTCGATCCCGACCCTGGCGCCTGCTGTGAATTTAGGTGTCTGTCCCCGTGGTCGCGTGGATTTTTCTCAGCGTCCTCCGGTTTTCCCCTCCGCATTTAGAAAGACGCGCTTAGGTTATGTTGCTGCTATAAATTTCCACGTGATTAAGCCAACTCGTTCAGCTATCATTTGTGGCCAGGTCGCCTCTGAAAAATGGCTACGTAGAGCTCGGCGCACTTGACCTGGTAAAATAAAAACTGTTTAGTTGATAGTTTAATTGGTCGTCGCTGTCGTTGGCGCGGTTGTTCTCACCCCGCGTGGCTGTTTCTCTTCCAGTCGAGAGACATGGTGAAGGCCTACCCCCCGTTCGTGAACTTTTTCGAGATGAGCAAGGAGACGATCGGCAACTGCGAGAAGCAGAACCCACGCTTCCACGCCTTCCTCAAGGTGCCCCGGCCGCCGTTCCTTGTCGCTCCTCCTCCGGCGATCTGGAGGGACCTCGCGATTCCAGGGAGGGGGAAGGGGGGGGAAATTGGGGGGGTCTCGATTTGACTCCTGATTGGTGGAATCCACTGCGACCGTCTTGGTCCGTTTTCACTCTTTTTAAATCCTTTATATTAAGTTTGCTTGCTTGCTTGCGTGCTTGCTTGCTTGCTTACGACCGTGCAAATCTTTCGGTCGTTTTTTAACCCACTTCCCGTGAGCCAATCGAGCTGACATTTTGCACACAGACTCGTTGTGCGAGACAATTGATGTTCGTGAAAATTTTTTTCCAAAATTTTACACTGTTTAGGGAAAACAAATTAAATATTTAATTACCAATTGCTTAATACTGGCAGACAATCATCTGACCCATAGGTGGCAGCCATCTCAAGCCAGAGGATGAGAGGACTCTAGCCGCCACGCATATAAAGGATTTAGAGTGAAAAACTTTGTTTTTACGGGTTATACTTGTTCCTGTCGTTTTCTCAGTTTCGTGATCCTTAGCCCTCATGAAACTTAAGTAAAGTAACTTTACACCATTGCAACCTCATTTGCCAGAAGAAAAAATATGATAATTGCGTTTTTACCCTTTTATCTGTCAACATATTCTGATGGTGGATTGTCTTAGAGTTGTGCGCCTTTTGGCATCATCTGGTCCAACCCATGTGAGACTAGGCTCTAAGGAAAGCTGTCTCGGGTGTGGACCAATCAACTTCAAGGACAGTGCATACATTATCAGAGTTATGTTTTTTGTTTGCATTACGACTGCAGGTATTGCGGTCTATGCAAACATGACTCCTTGTAAAAAAGGTGTCAGTTTTGTTGCCAGATAAAAGGGTAAAAAACCAATTATCTTAAATAACTTTGTAGGTAACGAGGCTCCCCCACAAGGCCACGCGAGAGGGCGCGCGGTGCAGTTTGGCATCTGCTATCGTAGGGTGCGGTCGTGACGCTGCGGTTCTCTGCGGTGAGTAACAATGTCTTTGATAACAAAGGCGCCACGTACGTAGGTTGAACTTCTTTCGCAACCATACGTTAGCCAACCGTGCCAATCGGAAGCGCTGCGCCTCTCTGAAGAAAATGAACGCTGACCCGCTCGCGCGTTCCGAGATTCGGCGGTAAAACGGGACGTCCCGCCCTGCGACTTGCAGACGTCTCAGAACGGGAATCTGACGCAGAACGTCGGCTCGGAGGTCGGAGCTCCGAGCCGACACCGCTGAGACGCTAGGTTCTAAGGTTTCGGCAGACTTTAGAAAGCGACGGCCGGGCACTTGCCACCGGCACGCGCGAGCAGCGACGGTGCCGTTGCCGAACCGGCCTGCCGCTGGTCAAGAGGCGGGGCCGGGTTTGTTTTTGCCCGCTGCGGAAAGCCGCTGGCGTCGCTCGTAATGCGTGGACGGCTGACATCGCGCGCGGCCAACGAGACACGCGCAGATGACGCGGCGAAGCGTCGAGCGCGACGGTAGCCCCCGCTCCTGGCCCTGCTCGGCCCCGAGGCAGATTCGAATATCTTGTCGAGGCCCGGCGTTTCGCAGTTTGGTCACGGCCTGTCTCGGCACTTCCACTGGCTGTGCGCTAAGAAACAGCTGTGTGGTGAGAGCCCTGCGCTGGCTCGGCTCAGATATGCGACTGAAAAAACGTGGAAGAAATCTTTGCGTGATTTAGTTTGTAAACTATGTTTTATCCCATCCTCTTCTCCACCCTGGTGTCATGGGCTCTACTCCCCCCTGCTCGCTCGCCCCCCCACCCCCCACCCCTGTTCCCTCCCCTTCTGCTCGCACTCAGATCAACCAGGCGAAGCCGCAGTGTGGCCGGCAGTCCCTGAAGGAGCTGCTCATCCGCCCGGTCCAGCGCCTGCCCAGCGTGGGGCTGCTCCTCAACGGTGAGGGGGGATGCAGGGGAGGTGGGGGGGGTGTGGGGGAGGTGGGGGGGGGTGCGGGGGGAACAGCGGGGGGGGGGGGTAGCGTGCGCGGTAAGGGACGGAGATGCCAAGCGGGCTGGGTGGTGCTTGCCCGGCACCGATAAGAACCCGGGTTCGAATCCGGGCGACAGCCGCTAGCTGCTCAACCGAGCTCTCGTGTTTCGTGAGTTTTGACGGTCTCGGCATTTGCCACGGAGTAAAGCCCGAAGAGCTAAGAAGCTTTTTATTTTAAAACGAGCGACTCGTTCGGCAGACTGCATCGAAGCCTTCCGCAGTTACAGATGTAAAACACCACCGTTGATGATAACTAGAATAGCACTTAACGTCGAGCGATTTTAATAGATTATAAAGGTTACTCTGTCAAATTGCCCAATGATGCTGGATGTAATTACCAGCGAAACGTCGTACTGCTCAAATTGTAAATGTGGATTTACTCTCCAACACTCCGGTGGGCTGAAGCAGTAACTAATTGGCGCACGTTGTTTATGTGACAAACCTAACTAGCTGGAGGGTTACGACACATTTATACTTGCAGCGATCTAACCCAAAAAACCTTTATTATGGCTAGTATTGGTCGCGAAAGCCTGCTACGTGTTAAAACTGATTTTAATTGAGTCCGCTTAAATTGAGGACAGAGATGGCAGAATGGGGATGCCAAGAGGGACACAACGAGGTTAGTTCCAAAACTTTGGGGCAGCCGCTGCAATAAAATCATGCTTTAGATTCCAAATTGTGCGTCGACGAGAGAGCAACGGTTGCTGAGCGCGGGCCCGAAACGGCAACTGGGCAGCGGCAAACGGCACTCTCAAAGTCGCCCGAGACGAGAGTGACGTCATGTGTTTTTAGCGAGCAAGGTTATCGTTGTTGTTGTTATGAAAAGAGCTTGGATAAAGGAGATGAGTGGGTGAGTGTAGTGTAGCGATCAACGCAATGCGCTACAAACCCCGCTGCCTCCCCCGAGTTAGATTCCCACTCACGGCCAACACCGGTGACAAATATCCCAAACTGATCCGGGTCTCGCCTAGGTAGACTCGGCCTTCAATTAGTTGGGGGAGACAAAGGCGGTCCGGCCGGGCGCGGCGCTGGCCACCCGCCGCCTCGTAGCTGGCGAGCGGCACTTACCCCCGCCCGCGGGTGACCGTTGCCTTTTGTCCGTCTGCACGCGCAGACATCATGAAGCACACGTCGGAGGGGAGCGCCGACAAGCGGAGCCTCAGGAACGCCATCGAGGCTCTCAAGGAGGTCATGACGTACGTTACCGCCCCGGCCCCCCCGTCCGTGGGCGCCTCGCCCGTGCCGAGAGTGGAGGGGAGGGGGGTCGGCACCGGCAACTGCGTGCGTGTCGGGTGTGTGTGTAGTGCGTGTAGTGTGTGGTGTGGCCTCGACGTGCACATAGCCTGGCACAAGCGCCGTGGTGACGTCACCGTCACTTAGTGGCGAATGGCGGGCATTGGTATCGGAGGTGGGGGGGGCTGTGTCTGGGTGCTCGGCTCATTGCCATGCCGGTGATGGCACAGTCACCCGCGCTGCTGCTTGGCCTCAATCTCAAGGGCATGTGCGCGTCTGCGTGCGTGTCTGCGTGCACGTCTGCGTGCGCGTCTGTGTGCACGTCTGCGAGCGCACGCGGGGAGCGGCAACGCGCGTTGGTTGGTGCGCTGCGTGATGAGCCCCGAATTCAATTCCCGGTCTGCGTTAGCATCGGCGGCGATTAGCTGAATCGGTTCCAGGCCTCGGCTAGCAACCACCACCGTGCGCTCGCTCACGCGGCTTCTCCCCGCTCGCGTTTCAACGAGGCGGCCGCTGCCGAGGGCGTGCACCCCCGCTCGCTTGCTCGCTCCGCGTCGATCTTGCCGTGGCCTTCGTGAGAGCCTCGCTCGCGAGAGCACTCCAGGCACTCGTGAGAGCCTCGCTCGCGAGAGCCGCACCTGCGAGTGCGCTGCAAGCCTTCGCCCGCTCGCATCGCCCACAATTCAAAAGCGTCTAATTCGCTCGCGAGTACTTGAGGGATTCCTCACAGATCAAACGTCCTTTTGTACTTGGTGTACGCCTCCGATACCAAACCCCCCCCCCCTTTCGCGAAGCACGCACAGCCGTCGAGCCGTGCATGGGCGTTTGGCGATTCCATTAGTCGCTCGCCTAGATAATGAACGCCGCGTGTGCGTTGATTGCGTTCGTCATCCTACCAGCTGGCGTAATGGATTTTTTTTTGTGCTCGGGATGCGTTCCCAATTTTCGTTTTAATCTGAAAAATCTGAAAGAGGAGAGAAAAGAAAAACACACGAATCGAGTGGCAATCGCGCCGAGATTTGAAATTCCGAAGAGAAAATAGAAAAAATAATTTCAACTCTGCTTTGTTTGCCCAAGAAAACCTTGCCCGAGCCTCGGAAATTCTCTTGAGGAGGCGGCGGGAGGGGGGGTCCCGCAAACTTTTTTCAGTACGGGGGGGTGGGAGGGGCGATGTTGTTGTTGCCGCGTGTAATCTCGGTTCGTGTAATTTGCAGGTAAATTGTAACGTTGGGATTGTTTGGCCAATGGCGGTTGCGTTGTATATTTTGGTTGTTTTATTTTAGCTGCGGATTAATTTAAACGAATCAAATTGTTTTTCCGGATTAATGTGAAATCTGGGACGACCGCGGGAATTGACATCGCACGTATTACGCCACTTCTAAACTTTTCCCCCCCCTTCCAAAACTGTCGTCGCGTCACGTAACATTAGCACGTGCAAGGTAAACGATGCAGAAATCTGAAATGTGTTCCAAAATTGCCCTCGAACATCCAACGAGAGAAACTCGTTCCTGCCGATGTGGTTGTGGTGGCGGCGGCGGCATTGGTGGTCGTGCGTGCGTGTGATGCGTGTCGTCGGCAAGCCTTCGACACTTCACGTGGTCTGGCGTAGGCGCCGTGGTGACGTCACCGTCACTTAGTGGCGAATGGCGGTTGTATTGGCATTGGATGTATGTAGCTGGGGAGTGGTGGCGCAGTGGATAGCGTTGCTGTACTACGAATCCGGCGACCCGAGTTCGTTTCTCATCACAACCAACGCCAATGACGATTATCTAAACCGTTCCTGGGCCTTCCCTAGGTCTGCTCAGCCTTAAACGAGTACCTACGAGATCAAGGCATGGTGTCGGGCACCCACCCCACCCCCCACCGTGTGCTCTGTCGGCCTTCAGCGGTGCTCGCTAACAGCACTCGTCCCCAAAAGTCTGTTGAGGCTATCCGGGGGATTCTAGATTTGATGCTTTCGTGACTGCAAGGATTCATACTCTTAGGTTTTTTCGGTAAAGTCACGTAGGTAAAAATAAAAACTAAAAATTAAATAATAATAATAAATGAAAATAAGTCAATTAATTGATTTATTACATTTATTAAATAATAACAATAAATGAAAATAAATCAATTAATTGATGTTTTTTCATTTATTTTCATTTATTATTTTTTATTTTTTACCTACGTGACGTTACCGAAAAAACCTAAGAGTATCCGGGGTATCTTTGTCTCTGTGTGTGTGTGTGTTGGATGAGCGCGCGCGCACGCCCGTGTGCTTGTTTGCACGAGCGCGAGAGTGTGTTTTCTCCTTGCCCGCCTGTTATGGGAGCGAGTATCATAGTGTCACTGATGAGTGTCGTGTAAAGGTTACTGAGGTCAGTCGCGTGGAGCCTTGGTGGTCAATTTGCGTTGCACGGGAACGTCGCCATCAGTCCTGGTCAGCAAATCATCGATCTCGGCTCCCTCCGTGTGATACCCAGATTCTGAAGGTCTTTAGTCATTGATCGCTGCCAGTTGACATGCTGCCCTCCACGCGTTCTCTCCTTCAAGGTTTCGCCCAATCCGTGTGTGATGCAGGCACCCCGTTTGATCCAGACAGGACGTTGTTATGGGTTTGTGTTGTGAAGCGTTATGGGTTTGTGTTGTGAAGTGGTATGGGTTTGTGTTGTCAAGTATTATGGGTTTGTGTTGTAGAGTGGTATGGGTTTGTGTTGTGAAGTGTTATGGGTTTGTGTTGTACAGTGTTATGGGTTTGTGTTGTGAAGTGTTCTGGGTTTGTGTTGTAAAGTGGTATGGGTTTGTGTTGTAAAGTATTATGGGTTTGTGTTGTACAGTGTTATGGGTTTGTGTTGTAAAGTGGTATGGGTTTGTGTTGTGAAGTGTTCTGGGTTTGTGTTGTGAAGTGTTCTGGGTTTGTGTTGTAAAGTATTATGGGTTTGTGTTGTCAAGCGTTCTGGGTTTATGTTGTAAAGTATTATGGGTTTGTGTTGTACAGTGTTATGGGTTTGTGTTGTAAAGTGGTATGGGTTTGTGTTGTAAAGTATTATGGGTTTGTGTTGTAAAGTATTATGGGTTTGTGTTGTACAGTGTTCTGGGTTTGTGTTGTAAAGCGTTCTGGGTTTGTGTTGTAAAGTATTATGGGTTTGTGTTGTCAAGCGTTCTGGGTTTGTGTTGTAAAGTATTATGGGTTTGTGTTGTGAAGCGTTATGGGTTTGTGTTGTGAAGCGTTCTGGGTTTGTGTTGTGAAGCATTATGGGTTTGTGTTGTTTACATTTTGGGAGGGAACCGGAGGGGTAAACTCACCGTCGCACACAGATGGTGCAGACGGAGTCTTGCACTTGTGCTGTGCCGCCTTCTCGTCGCGAGCACGGGGCACACTGCTCCTCCTGGACGCCCACCCACGGGGAAGGGAGTTTCACGCAACTTCCGTGCGGTGATCCACCGACCCTCCCTGGCCCACCGCGGCGCCGCGTCACTGCAGGCAGCCGCGTGGTGCAGCGTGATCCCCGCTTGGCACCTTGCTCAGCGTTGGCGCGTTTGGCCAAATCTCCTGGGACGTCGTCTTCAAGAAATTTTTGCAGGAAACGGTAGAACCCCGGGGGGAAACCCATCGCAAAAGCTGGGGTAGGCGATGCAGAAGGGGGGCAGGCGGGAGCAAAGGGGGTCGGTGGTACAAATGTCACGTGGAACGGGAGCGCGAGCCGGGGGCAACGAAACCCGAGCTCCCTTGTCGCGGCAGGGGGGCACGAGCGTCAGCGCTGCGCCCGCCGCCACCGTGCCGCCCGCTGTGACCCCGCGTGTCCCCCCTCCGCATGCCCCCCCCCCCACCGCGTGTCCCTCCCACCTTGTGCCCCCCCCCGCGTGTCCCCCCCCCCCCCCCCCGCGTGTCACCTTGCGTGTCCCAATGCATGTACCCGGTGTGTCCCCTGCCCCGTGGCGTGAAGGCACATTAACGAGGACAAGCGCAAGACGGAGGGGCAGCGCCTGATATTCGACATCGTGTACGAGGTCGAGGGCTGCCCGGTGAGATGCACGCACACGGGGATGGACAGACGGACGGACGGGCACACACACTCCCTGCGTAGCCTTTGACAGACCGTTGGGGCAAGCGCTGTTAGCAGGCGCCTAATCTAGGCCGACACGGCTTTCGTCTTCCCAGTGCCGATGTTATTACTCACCGCACCGCGTATTAATTTAAGGCTGAGTCGACCTAGGGAACGGGCGTACAGCGAGACAAGTGAGATGAGACGAGAGAGGTAGGAGAGTACGTGGAGGGGAGGTTAGAGGGGAGAGGCAGGAGAGTGCGTGGAGGGGAGTAGTGAGATGAGAGGGGAGAGGTAGGAGAGTGCGTGGAGGGGAGTAGAGTGAGATGAGAGGGGAGAGGTGGGAGAGTGCGTGGAGGGGAGTAGAGTGAGATGAGAGGGGAGAGGCAGGAGAGTGCGTGGAGGGGAGGTTAGAGGGGAGAGGTTGGAGAGTGCGTGGAGGGGAGTGGAGTGAGGTGAGAGGGGAGAGGCAGGAGAGTGCGTGGAGGGGAGGTTAGAGGGGATATGTAGGAGAGTGCGTGGAGGGGAGTGGAGTGAGGGGAGAGGCAGAAGAGTGCGTGGAGGGGAGTAGAGTGAGATGAGAGGGGAGAGGTTGGAGAGGGGAGAGGCAGGAGAGGCAGGAGAGTGCGTGGAGGGGAGTAGAGTGAGATGAGAGGGGAGAGGTAGGAGAGTGCGTGGAGTGGAGTAGAGTGAGGTGAGAGGGGAGAGGCAGGAGAGTGCGTGGAGGGTCGTGAAGGCGGTGTCCGCGTGTGTCCGTGCGGCCAGGCCAACCTGCTGTCGTCGCACCGCACGCTGGTGGCTCGCGAGGAGGTGACGGCGCTGGATGATGAACTCTGCGACCGCGGCGAGACCATCTCCATGTTCCTGTTCACCGACTGCCTGGAGGTAGGGACCCTCGCCCGCCACGCCAAGCGCGCCCAGCACACCGGCTCTGCTGGGCTCCCTCTCCTCGTTTGGCTCTCTTTGAGTTGTTGTGTTGTGCCGCCTTCTTGTCGCGAGCACGGGGTACACGGCTCCTGGACGCCCACCCACGGGGAAGGGAGTTTCGCTCAACTTCCGTGCGGTGATCCACCGACCCTGGTTTGTTTCCGAATGTTTCCGTCGAAACCCCATCGTCCCCCGGGCAGCCGTCTCAAAATGCCGCGGCCGTTTTGTCAGCTTACCCGTTGGGGGTCGCGCGCAGGCATTCATGCGCACGCACGCACGCACGAGCAGTGTCGGCCCCCTTCCTCTCAAAACTTGGCAGGACCCTGTTGCCGAAGGATCTTGAGACTCGGTGAGACTTCACCGAGTATACAAGGACTTTATTAATGAAAAATAAAAGTGCCATGTAAATGCAAATCCTTGTCCGAAGGTCAAGAGGTCATCACAACCAATGTCATTACACCGGGCCGTTGCCTCCTTCCCTCTGCCAGGTGGTGGGGCATGGCCTTGGGAGTCCCACATCTGTACGTGCAGTGGGGAGCGGACTTGTGATGGTTGGTGTGTCCTGAGTTTGATTCCCATCGCGGTTAACGTCACCGCCAAATGTCTGAACCTGGCCTAGGCCCACCGGAGGTTGACTTTGATTTTTTCGATTTAAAGCTTTCGTGACTGCAGGGATTCATATTCTTGGTTCTTTCGGTAAAATCACGTAGAAGGGAAATATTATGTTTTTTTTTTATTATTTTGTTATTTCCCTTCTACGCGACTTTACCGAAAGAACCAAGAATATAGGTTGACTTGGCTTGAAGCGAGCGCTTGGTGCGCTGTGCAAAAGTCACCGCCGGGGAGACAAAGGCGGCTGTGCACTGTCCCGGCCTCGTGCGCCGTGCCGGCCTTTCATCGGTGCTTGCCAACAACACATGCCCCGAACAGCCTGTGGAGGCTATACGGGCGGGCAGGGATCTTTGTCTTTGTGGCTGCAAGCCAGCGAGAGGTGTGTGTGCGTGTGTGCGGGCGCACGTGCGTGCGTTGCCGCATGACTGACTCCCCCTCGCTTTGGGAAAACATGTAAATCTCCGCTAATGCATAAAACATTAACCCTCGGCACGCCGCCACGCCGTGCCACCCCATCGACACCCGCACAGGTGCCACCTACGGGGCCCGCTGTTACCCGTGGCCTGCCCCCTTTCGCGCCCCCGGCCGCGGCGTCCCCTGTCCGCGGGCGTGCGGAGCGGACGGGGAGAGGAGGAGGAAGGGCTAGCGGTGGGGGTGTGGGGCGGCAGTGACCACGATCGGTGGGATCGTCGCCATCGCCGGTTGTCGGTTGCTGTCGTTGGGGGGGGGAGGAGGGGGCAGCCGTGAATTTGGCCCGCGGGGGTCGTAGGTTGAAGGTCGTAGCGAGGTGAAGGGGTTAATGCGGGCGCGAGAAGGGGAGGGGGGGAAAACACACCACGTGTGCTCGTACGTCGTTTTCCAAAGCATTTCTCACATACAGAATCATTTGAATACATTACAATGACTGATGAGCTGGTGTCTGCTCCAGAGATGGGGAGGCGGCGGGGGTGGGGCGCGGGGTGGGGGAGGGTGGCGGTTGTTTCTATTTTCTTACTCTAAACAATGCGAGCCGTTTGAAGCGGATTTCCTGGGAGATGTGTAATTATTATTGTTCCGCAGATCTGCCGCCTCTGATCGGGGCCGTGGTGCGCGGAAGCGCGACGCCGCCGCCAACGCTCCGTGGTGCGCGGCGCGCGGCCGGGTTGATCGCCGCTTTAGAGGCTGCGCGACGGCGCCACCGGGCACGCGTGCCGCTCGCATGCCACTCGTGTGCCCGGTGGCGTGGAGCTGCGTGCGCCGGGGGGAGCGGCGGCGCAGGCGGCTAGCGCGCGCTGCGCTACGAACCCGGCGACCCGAGCTCGCTTCCTCCTCCGCTCAAGAACGCCAACGCCGGTGGCGATTATTTGAATCGGTCCGGGGCCTCCGCTAGGTGGACTCGGCCTCAAATGATTACCTGGTGCGATGTGTAAACATCGCCACTGGGGGGACAAAGGCGGCTGGGGATGGTGCTGGCCGCTCACTGCCTTGTGGGTCGTGCCGGCCTCCTTCGGTGATTTGTAACGGCGCTTGCCCCAAATGTCTGTTAGAGGCTGTACGGGATATCTTTATTTTTGTGTGTGTGTGTCAGCGTGCGTGGGTAGTTGTGTTTGTGTGCACTAGTGTGCGTGGGTAGGTATGTGTGTGTCTGTGTGTGCCGCGGGAGCGGTAGTGTTGCGGTTAGCGCGCTGCGCTATGCACCCTTGCGACCCGTGTTCGATTCTTGCTCATGGCCACCACCTGAGCCTCCCCTAGGTCGATTCAGCCCCAAATGAGTAGCTGGTGCGGTGTGTAAACATCGCCACTAGGGAGACAAAGGCGGCCGGGCGTAGTGTTGGCCACCCACCCCCTCGTGTGCCGTGCCGGCCTTCATAGGTGCTGCTACTCACTAACAGCACTTGCCCCAACAATCTGTTAAGTCTGTACGGGGTATCTTTGGAGGTGTGTGCATATGGGAATGTGTGTGCGTGCATGCGTCTTTGTCTGTGGAGGTGTGTATGTGTGTGTCTATACGTCTGTGTGTGTGCGGAGGTGTGGGCTGTGTGCCTTTTACGTGGTGCTGGCCACTCCACCCCGCCGAGCGCCGTGTCCGACCATCGTAGGCCGCCGCTCGCTAACGGCGCTTGCCCCAGTGGTCCCGTTAAAGGCTACGCGGGGGGAACGGGGGTTGGGGGGGGGGAACCATTGTGTTTATGTGCAGCAAGCTCCATTGGTTCAATGCGTGCCCACACGCGCACTCCTCTGTGTGCGGTCTCTTCGCCGACCGCGCGCGTCATCGTGTCTGTTCGCTCGTCCGCTCCGACGCGCGCCGTTTCCCCCGCTGCCTCTCTGCCCGGCTGCGCTTGGCACTCTGATGTCCGTGTGGGAGGCCACCCGCCGTTGATGGTCCCTGTGCTCCGCGTGGCCTGCACGCGCTCTGGACACACGCGCACACCCTTAGCGTTGCGCATCAACGCAGGGGAGACGTTGCGTCTCGGCAAGCTGTCGCTCGCTCGCGGTATTTTTTTATTTTTTGTTACGATCAAAAGTAAGTGACGTCGAGGTGGATGGGGTAGTTCGTTCGGCGGCTCGGTGCTTGGCGGATGGTTTGCCGGACAGGTAGGTGGGTGGATGAGTAGCGGGATAGATAGGCGGCTGGCCGGTTGTATCGGTGGTCGGGGTGGGTAAGTGGCTCGGCGGTTTGGCGAGTCGGTGGCCGAATTGAAGGTTTGATGGGTGAAGGCATGGCTGCTGTATCGATGGGTAGCTGTGTGGATGTGTCGATGTTATGTAAGGGTAGCTGAGCGGATGGGTAGTTGGCTGGATGGGTAACTCCGTGGCTGAGTGGATAGGGGGCTGAATGGCTATGTGTACAGGTGTTTGTGGTAGATATGCTGCTGGGAGGCCGGGGGAAAGTAGGTTGGATGAGTGACTTGATGGATTGGTGGCCGAGTCTATTTACGGCTGGGTGATTGTTTCACTCCATAAGTGGGTCGTCTGGGTAGCTCATTGGGGGTGGACGGTTGGTTTGCTCCATGCAAGGAAGGGGGGTTGGAGAGGGACCGCCAGGGTGGCTAGGTGGAAGATTTACTGTGCGGCTGTGTAGATGTGTTTTCAGGTGTTCGGGTGATTTAGTGGATGTGTTTGTTTTTGGGTAGATAAATTGATCTGTATATAAGTGGCTGAGCGGCTGGGTAGATGTCTGTCTAGGTGGCTGGGCAAACGTCTATCTAGATGGCTGCGTGGCTGGGTAGATGTCCGTCTCGGTGACTGGGTGTATATGGGAAATGCTTCTTGAATCTAAGGTACTTAAAGCGAACTCTTAACTTCCCAAAGACATTAATGTTCAAATCAGGGGTTGTATTCCTAGCCGACATTTCTGGGTTGGAAAAAATACGCGTGACTAAATCTCACGGTGGGCGTACAAAAATGCAAACGATTTATAATAAACACGAATGACTACCGTAGATCAAACTTGCCGGAGACCGGTTGAAGTGCTTGCTGCGGAGTGGCCTCGTGGCGTGAGCAGTGGTGGTGTTATGCAGAGGAAGGGGCAGGATCTCCGGCCTCTGCGTCTGTCGATGAAGCTGGGACCAACGGCGATGTGCACAAGAGAAGAGGCTGCTGCCTCTTCTCTGGGCGCTTCTCTGGACCTTCTGGCTACGATTGCGAAGCTTTTGTAAAAAAATAAATACGTCCAAAGACAGCTGGACAGAATTCGTCTTCTTCTTCTGCAGCTCCAGCTTCTTGTGGCAGTGAATGCCGGTTAACTTTTCGTGGTGGTGGTGGTGGTGGTTGTGGTATCGTTGCATTCGCCTCTTCCTCAGCTCGGCGTTGTCCCAGCTGCATCAGATCCTCATTGCCAGCTCCTCACTGCGGAACTGGAGCACCGCCACCACCACCACCACCATGTTGGCAGACTCCTCCACATCGTCGAGTCTGGCTTCCCCCCCATCACGCAGAGGGATGTTCCCCCCCCCCCCCCCCCCCCCCCCGTGACGCGGAGGGGACACCCCCCCCCCTCCCCCGTCGTTAGGGATATCCCCTCCGTCACGTGGCGACGAAATAGTCCGTATTCACCGTGTGCATTCCTGGTTAACAAAATGAATTGCGCCAAAAAAAATATGCGCTTTTAACAATACCGCCACGTATGTAAAACATTTAACTTACAAGGAAATATGTTGCCTCAATCACCATCAACGTGTAATGCGAAATAACGCATCATGTGGGAATTTATAGCGGGGTATTTCTCTGTAGGTGCGTGGATGGGTGGCTGAATAGATGCCTATCTGTATGGCTGGGTTAAATGGCTACATAGGTGACTCAATAGATGTCTGTTTTCAGTGGCTGGGTTCATGGGTGGATGGGTAAATGCCTGTCTAGGTGGCTGG